TTTTTATTACCGCCTTCGATATGCCTTCGCTGCCCGAATTAGAGAAAATAAGTGTTTTATGCGTTGGCCGCAGAACGATTGCTGGCTCCACCGTACAGCACTTGACGCGTAAGGGGAAATACGCCTATTATATTGCGTATATTTTCAATTCTTCCATCAACGATATAAAGATGTTTTTAGAGCTATTACTTTGATTGTAGGTTATTATATTTTAACCGCTGCGTTGTTTAGTAACATTCAGATACATTTTATATAGATATTATCTCTGACTAGCACTAATGTATTTAGATGTCGATCTATTTTAAGAGTAAACAGAAACATACACCTGTGTTTGGCACTTACCGCACTTACCACAATCTATATCATCCAGTATTTTAAAGAATTAACAATAATTATGGACCACTAACCTGAGTAACCTGTGTTCCTAAGCTGCCAAAAGTTTCCAAATATCGGATAGAACATGAATCCGTTAAAATTTTTCGCAAACTCAAAAATGTGTCTTTTTTTATAAAGTGACCATGCTACTTTCAACATGATCAAAACTGCGAGTACACCTGCTCCTACTACAATTTGTAACCATGCCATAATACGGAATTGTAAAAACTTGAAATAAGAATTTATTAGATTAAAAAAAAGGAGTAAGCAAGTAACAGTAGTAGTTAGTAAGTGAGGAGCTATTTTTCAAAATGTAACAAGTCCATTTTTAAAATTTTAGACAGTATAACTGGTACGTCTATTCTACAATTCGTAGACAGCGAAAAAAAATTCGGTTAGGTAATTATGTACTTATCTCAAATTAGTCATTTTTATAAATCAGAGTTGGTTTTAGAAATTACTATCACCGTTTTTTGAATGGATTTGTTTCGTTTTGAAAGAAAACGCAGTACTAGTTATGTTTTGAAAAAAATAAATTTCTAAAATTAATGAACAATGATAAAATTTAAGTAAAAAATAATGCAAAGAACGAATTTACTACATAGTTAATTAAGTTTTTAACTCAGGTTCTTCTTGGACACAGTCGCAGTTTGCTTCACCATCTGGATTATTATTTTCAGAGTTTCGAAAGTCACTGATCAACAGTTCAAAATACCACGACAAACTTTTTTCTCTGTCCCAGTTTTCTCCAAAACTCGCAACTAAAAGATTATTTACCGCTTTTCCCTTATCAGCTGAAATTTTGTGCTCATCCAGTAACAGACTCGGTGAAACACCCGCTAAAGATTTCCCACTTTTTAAAAGGGTTTGTTCTTTTTTTGAAGGGTCTTTATTTCTATAAAATACTTGAGAAATTACTGTTACATGCTGCTGTTTTTTACCACGACTCAATTTTTTTTATGTTAACAACTTTTTGTTGGCTTATCCCGTGGTATTTCTGAAATATCGTAAGTAGGCCCTTAAAAATTAACCATATTTTTTATGTTAGACGATACGGGAAATTTGAAAAAGTATAAACGGGCAAATGCTGTTCGTGGACTTTTGCCGACAGTTAAATGCCGAAAGCTGCCATACCTCGACCATGTTCTTAGAGGAAATGTTACCGGAACCTACAACTTATAAGGAAGGGCAAAACAGAGGGCCGCAGGGGCACAGGAAGAAAACAAATCTCCTGGTTGAGGAACATCCGAGAAGGAACAGGCATAAATAGCGCCGAACAATTATTGTTTAGAGTCGCTGAAAACAGGGATCAGCTCGCCATCATGATTTCCAAAGTCAGGGGGGCCTGACAAGGCACAGTAAAGAGAAGATAAACGGAATGAACCATAAGCATATAGTAAACTTTGGTACAGTCTGTCAAGTAATGCCTCTCGGATTTGGCAATGAACTGTAGGTCCCATATACTTGTGAAACTATATTTCAAGTGTAAAACCTCTAACGAGGGGTAGGGGACTCAACAAACTCACAACCTTTTAAGTTCCCTACGCCTCGTTAGAGGTTTTACATTGATATGTACTCACACTGGGTTGGAGAACGTTTAGTTTTATATTTCAAATTTCAAGTATACATCAGTGCAGGCAAGAGATCGCCTACGGTTTGTATAGCACATAAAGGCCAGGACACCCTATCATGGACGTTTCCGATCCGCCTCCGGTCCTATTTTGCCCCAGAAGCGGATCGCTGTGGGATCGGAAATGGTGAATACACACATGTCATACATGCTTCCGACTCCTTCACGATTTCGGGCTTCGGCTGGATATAATCGCCAGTCTTGATTCAACAATCATCGCATGAAGTCGAGTGCGCAAAATGTTTAATAATTTTAGCAACAGTGGTTTAGCCATGGTGGCACTTTGTTTGGAAAAAGAAGATGAGGAAAATGAGAAAGCTTTTATAGAGAACAGCCAAAATGGCAGATTTCATATCTTTGTAGTCGGAGTTTCGGTACTGCTCTTTGGTCTGGTCATACAGCACTGGATATTTCCTCACTTCTTCAATTAGTTCCTCCAGTTTTATTGTCGACATTTTTTATTATTTTAATAAAAAACTAAAAATAACACAGCAAAAACAAAAATAAACAAAATAGTTGAAAACGACACTCGTCCCACAGCCGGCATCGACGAATATCGGAATCGGACTGACAATCGGAATCGGAACACGAACGGATGCAGGAACGGAGTCGAGTAGGAGCGGGGATGAATCACGTATCGGAAAGGTGTAAACTATGCTGGTTAAAATAACGTACGATTTCCCTCTCATACAGTCGTCCGACTATATGATCGTACCCGGATCGGAAACGTGCATGATAGGTGTGTCCCGGCCTTAAGACTGTAAAGGTAGCCATGCACATGCAGTTTTTTCTCGAGGGAAAGATGCACAATCACGGTACAAACTTCAAAGAGTGTTTAAATATGACATCCTTTGTAGCATTCGACTTAATCTCTTTTAGTTTTTCTATCGATCTCGATTTATCTGACATATCTTTTTTATTGCTGTCGAAGTAAGGTTCACAACCGATATGCGGATCAAAATGACCGAGAATTTCCGGTTCTTCAAAATAGAAAGGACAACAACCCTCGTATATTAGTTATTTTTAATGCTTGTAATGTTGTTAACGTATCACACGAATTTAGTTGATCACATATTTATACTACGCGAAACAGAAATTTCACGATTTTTTATTTATTTCGTAGAAATATTATTTCACTTTACATTATTTTTATTACAGACATAATTTTAACACAATAGAAAGGATATGTCTTTAATTGCATTCTATTTATAAATAAAATATTTAAATTACTAAAATAATATTTATTTTTTGGCATACAATCTAATTCACTAAAAATAACAATGCAATATTAATATTATTAAATTAAGATTGTTATTTTTAGACGTAAAAACTCACCTTACTTTGCCTTAGTAGAAAATACGACCAGATTTATGTTAAAAGTAACTGTCTAGTAGGCTTGAAAGTTTATTGTTTCGAGCTAATGACAATTGAACTTATTACTAAAAAATCCCATTTAGTATTTACAAAATATATTAATATGTTAAATTGACAATATATAAAAAAATATTTGGTACATACGTGAATAAATGTATTTTTCACAAAGACTGATTTTGTTTATTTATTATTAACAATGGGAACTTAATTTACAAAGAATGAAAGATTTTAAGTTTATAAAGCAAAATGTTTGATATTAAGTATAGTTTGGGGTTGGAACTTGTGTAGTTGTGTTACTACAGCAAAATATAACACTCAGTGCCGGACTTAGGCCTGGGCCTGGGGCGGCAGATTTTTAGGGGCGGCAAATTTTCAACATAACAAAATATTTATCTTTTTTTTTAACTTTTATTTGTTCATAAAATATTTCGATTATAGCCTTAGCCGATTACATATTTATTTACTTAACTATTATTATTGTTTAAATATATAATTCGCTTGGGTTATTTTTTACTGCATTGTGCCATGAATCCAGTTAATAAATACATAAATACCTCGAATATAAAAAAATAAATTCAAAAACGTTAAAAAAATTATCAGAAACACGTTGGTCTGCACGAAATGAAGCTTGACAATCACTATCTTTGTCTTCCAATGAAATAAAATCCACGTTGGAGTCAATTTCTGAAGACGATAGCGAAAAGCCTAAAACCCAATTATATGCTTCTAGTCTCCTTAAACAATTCAAAAGCCTAGAAATGGATTTTATGGCGGTATTTTGGAAAGACGTTTTAAATAGATTAGATGCGGTCAATAAAAAGCTTCAAATGGTGGATATTGACTTGATATTTACTTTAATCCGAGCGGCTAATGTGTCGGCGAATTACGAATATGTAGCCGGGCACGTTCCGTGAAGTAGACACCGAGCCACGTCCGGGCCTTCTGTTTATGCTACACCGAGTTGATAACGGGGCTCGTATTAGTTCTGAGTATATTATAAAACACAGCCCCATAGACACACGAAGATTTAATACGAACAATGCCAAAGTTCTCGCAAGTGGAATTGGTACCAATTACAGTTGATGAAGAAAGAACAACACCTGCTCAAAGGGCAAGATGAGGACTATCTTTTTCATTACATCCTTTCATTGTCCAGTTTTATGCATTCCCTGTCATAAAATACTGCTGTAAGATTCACTACCTACTACAGACATGATAAAAAGTGTACTTTGTTTATACCATAACTGCAGATTGCAGTCGGGGCACCAGGAAAAGTACATTCATGCTTTCCGCAACGTGGCGGGAACGGAGCGGATCCGAGAAAAAAATGTACGCCGGCATTTCTGGGACGGGGCACGGACGAGTTCCGGCGAAGCTCGGATCGTGCTCGGCCTGGCATGAATGTATATGTGTAAAGAACACTTGACAATGTTTGGCCGTGTCTTCACCGACGCACGGCTCGGACCCGTTACGGTGTAGCGTGAAGCATCCTTAACTCGACTGTTTTGGCCTTATTTGAAAAACGGCAAAGAGAAAAATATGTTTTATATCAAGATCTACCAGCCCTGAAAATATTTACACAAATTAGGGTCTACAGTTAATTAAAACACACACTTTCTTTTTGTATAGAACTTTATTAAAAAAGGTTTTTAGATACTGCTATTATTTTCTAGGTTTAAATCGGCAGTCTAAGTTGTGTTTCGTTTTTATTGTCATAAATATTCGGAAATCTATCTCTTCTACAGATTTATAATTCGAAACTATTTCGTAATTCCGAACTATGTTAGCAACTGCCACCTTTAAGTTCATCAGGGCATAGGTTTTTCCTAAAAAATATATTTATGTATTGTACAGGGTGGAGTCAACGATATAGTAAAGTCCGTTATCTCATTTGTTTCGATGTTTACAAAGAAATGTTAAATATAAAAGTTATAGGGAAGGTTAAGATTTAAGATACATATTTTTCATTTTAAAATCATTTTTAAGAGGAGTATACAGAGGGCTTCAAAAAAGTGTGGCGGATATAACATATTTTTTTTAATGCAACACCTTGTTTTTTATTTTATTTATAGATTCTGCGTAAAATTCCAGAACTTTTTTATATATTATAATTATACCTAAAATTTAATAGTTTTTGTAATATTTGAATTTGTTTAAATAAATGTTAGATTCCAGTGTGGTAAAAAATTGTCAGTGATGCCATATTGTTTCTAAAGTTAGGCTACTAAAATTTTGTAGGAGGGTTTTATAGAGATCAAGAAAAATATATATGTAAAGGTATTTTAATGAGATGCTACAGGGCGGTCAATATATATGTATTTAAAAATTTCAACTACTTAAAATTAAAAAATCTCTAACTTTTTAAATAGCACACCCTATATATTTTCATTTCTTCTGATCTATTTTACAAGATTCTTAGCTTACAAGAATTAGCTTGTTAAAATGTCTATTCATATGATGCTCATACCTATACAATTACGAGGTCCGATAGAAAATGGAAAATAACAATACGATGGTCTTTTTGCAATTTCTTCCGGTAAAAATCTATCCGGATCAAATTTCAACGGGTCTGTCCAATATTTCTTGTTCCGATGAAGGCCAAATATGTTTAGAACGGTATTAACGCCTTTGGGAATTGTTTTTGTACCTAAACAGATATTTTGGGATAAAAGAAATTAAATGGAGGGTACATGGGACTGTCATTGCATAAAAGTTGATTCTGAGGAAAATGCAAATTACAGTTTAATCAATTTCCAGCAATTTGATCAGATGAAGTAAGTCCTTGTATTTTGCAGCGTCTAAAGATAGTTTTCCATTGTAGGAATTCTGAAATTCCAGTACCGAAGAATTTTAAAGTTGTTTTATCTTTGGCCTTTTCGATGGTTATTTTCCAATATTGCAAAATATAAAGCTTCATTCAGAACCTCGCAATTAGTCGATAAATTAGTGGTTTCAATTACACTTTATACTTTTTAGTTTAGGATCATTCACAATGTTTAAAAAACACAATTAAAATTAATAGAATATCCTAGCAACAGCTTACGGTAATCAGATGTATCAAGGTTGTATCCATACACTGATAAAAAAGATAGACTTGAAGTAAAGTCGTCATCGTTCTTGAAAAAAAAAATTTAGTGGCAAGAGAATTTATTTTAGCGTAAAAGAAAATATTTTGCCTGAAGAAAAACTCTCTCAAGTCAAGAAAACTGGTTCTCTTGAAAAATTCGAAAATTTCCCTTGAATCTATTTTCATTCAATCAAGTGCAAGTCACTTTGTTTTAAGATAATAAGAAAAATACGCTAGGAAGGACGGTATATACAATCATTCGGCAGTCCGATCAGTCGCACGTCGCATTTCATAGGCACATCATAGTACGCACGGGTTTTGTTGCTTGGAATTTTCCACTTGGGAATTTTGCATAATTTGCTTTTTAAACGCATATCGTATAATAAATTAGTGATCGTTATTAACATGCATTTGTCATTTTTTATGGACAAATTTGAGGATATATGGATTCTTTAAAGGAGTTTCTGAAAAAATGGAAATTAGAGCATTTATTTGCTATATTTGAAGGTAAGAGACATTTACCTAATGCACCTGTTTAGATAATGCATGCGTGACTATAGATAGAATAAGAATATAGGTATCGATTTTTTTTCTGGAAATAATTACAAAAATTTTAGAATTTCAAGTCGTCGTATTAAAAAATTCAAAATGTGACCAAAACCTATAATTTTAATAATTTGTTTGCTTTACTTTGATTAATCGTGATGTAACATATTTTTGTAATTTGTAGAGTGATGAACCACCCCAAAAAATACCAAGAAGTGAAGAAGCAGAAATAACTACTATCGGGGAAAATAATATCACTTTACTTACTACAGACCAGGAAAACCTAAATTTATCAGAAAATAATATAACTCGTAATATGCCTGTATATGATGTATAGACTTCTCTTAGATCAAAATAAATTTTAGTTGAGTCAATGGTATTCGCTATTGGTTTAAGAAAAGTGTCTCTTTAATCAAGAAATCGTCCCATTGCTGCCAAAAGTCACTAACTTACTTTTTATTACTTCCGAGAAAAATGCGTCTAAAGATGAATTGCATTGCATAAAGATGTTATAGTTAGTAACTATTCGGTATTAAAATAAAACATAAATAGCCAGAAATCGTAATTAATGACTTTTGCAATCGATTCTCCGATTCAAAACATAGTTAGTGATTGAATTTGGTTGTTCGGAAAAATGTTAGTGACTTTTGGCAGCAATAGGACGAAATGTCCCTTTTCAATCAAGAATTTTTGCATGAATCAAAGAGACTGTTGTTCTTGTAGCAAGAACTTCTTTGCATATTAATTTTGGGTCAAGAGTGAAATACTTTAGACAGATAGATTCTTCTATTCTCTAAAGTAATTTTTTAAAGCTTATGAAAAGATAGCTAATGCTTTGGGTAAAGAAACGTCGTTCTTGGCCCTATGAGAAAGCGCGAATCTTTTGGGTCAAAGTCATATTTATTTCGACTGAGAGATCCTTTTTTTCAGTGTAGAGAAAGCCTAATAGCCTTGTATATATATTTTTATATAAACAAGGCTAATAGGTATTTAGCTTATAAAACAATCAACTTTAGATTTCTAACCACAATTTTTTCTTGGTTAATGATAATCAAAGGTCAAAATTACATTTCTCGCAAATTTTGAAGTATAATTAGTGGAAAAGTTAAAAGTTTGATAACTTTGTCTACTAATTGAAAGTGTCTGTCACTAATTTTGTACAAACCTACAACCCGCAACCTCGCAATTAGTGGAATAAATTAGTGGTTTCAATTGCACTTTATACTAGCAACAGCTTGCAGCAGTCAGTTGTGTCCACAGAGAAAGCCTAGTCTGTGGCCTAATTCTAACCACAATTTCTCTTGACGGAAGATAATCAAAGGCCAAAATGACATTTCTCGCAAATTTTTAAGTGATAATTATTTGGAAAGGATAATTAGTGGAAAAGTTGAAAATATCTACCACTAATTTTGACGTTCCGAATGCTTACATTGAAATTCAAGAAACAAACTTCTATATACGCTAATTGAAACCACTAATTGTGATGTTCTGAATGAAGCTTAATGCTTTTTGATAAATTAATCAAAAAATGCAATAACGGTGTTGTGACCCTTGTACACTTCAAAATAAAATAAATATATATTACAAGCTTTGAAGCATTGAATAAGTAACTTTAAAGTAATAAACCGCATATCTTACCACATATAATATCATCTGCTATATATCTTCCTACCGTAGGAATTACTGGAATTAGCCTGAGTGTTTCTAAAATGACCCTTTCTGTATATTTTAAACTATGCAAATTTGATGCTTCAATAGGACGATCTGGGCCAATTTCTTCCAATATTTCTTCGTACAGTTTGTTCTAAACACAGTATATAGCAATAAATATATTGTATGATCGAAAAAAAGGCGTCAAAGACGGCTGGGGAATGACAATCGGTGATAATTTTAGCGATGTAAATCTCTAAACATCGTTATTTATGAAAACTTATCCAAAATTAATATTAATTATAGAAAGATTAAAAACGATAGAACGTTTCCAAACACACAAATCTATTCAAATATGTCATGTATCGTCATTTCCAAGGTAACTTCATGCGCATGAAGTTTAAAGCGTTCTAATTTTATTCCAAACATAGACATGGGGTAGACTCAATAATTTGTTGTTTTATTTTTTGTAGTTATTAAAATTGTTATAAAAATATAAAATAATTCTACTAAAAATAGATAAGTTATAATAATTATTTATTAACGCAAACATCTGATACGCTACTGAAGCAAGTAAGTCAAATTGGCGTATCAAAATTCATTGACATCTGAACATGTAGTAAATAAAACCAAAAATGGAAAAGATACCTATATAATTAATTAATTTTAGGTGAATTTCACAAATGATCGGTTTATTACACGTATGCATATTATACAGGGTGGCCCATCGAAAACGTTCCGCAAGGCATAACGGCCGGGGTAATTTTTTTTTCAGAAAATTCAAAAACACGTCAATTTTGTTTGTTAGGGGGACAACTTTTGCCCCAAAAATTATTGCAAAATCTTCAACACTCTAAGCGGGGGTGTCATCCCCCGATTTTTTTCAAATGGGAAGGGGAGTCAAGGGGTACCGCAATGAAAAGGGCTTTCTATTCTCTATACTTTCCTGCTTCGTTTTTGAAGATCGGTCGAGTCGGGGGATGAAGGATTGAAATTTGAAAAGTTTTTTAAACATTTGTCAGAGTAAATGATAAGGATAAACTCCTTCGACCAATTTGCTGTTTTTTCTTATTATTTCAAGATGTTTGCAATCGGGTTGCGCAGATATTCAATGAACGCCATCATGACAAACACCTTTATGGCAAAATTGTTCGCCAGTTAGTAGCAAAATTTCGCGAAACTGGTTCCGGCAGAGGGAAAATCCTGTAGTAAATGAAGCTATGGAGGTATTCGTATTGGGCCATATTGCCATGGACAGTATTCTGAGTACAAGAAAATTAGCCAATGAGACCGGCGTGAATCGTATAAGTTCTACCCGTACAAAATTCAGTTGGTACAAGAACTCAACGAAGACGATTTTGATCGTTGCTTGCAATTTTGTGAAACTATGAGTGAACGAGTGGCGAATGATAATAATTTCCTATTTAATGTGTGTTTTTCGGATGAGTGTACTTTCTTTCTGAACGGTGTAGTTAATCGGCACAACTGTCGGTACTGGGCTGAGGACAACCCCCAGGGTTTTTCAAAACCCTCAGAAATTGAACGTGTGGGCTGGTATTTTTGGAAATTCTATTGGTCAGTTTAACGATATTGAGAAGAACTTCAACGTACAAGTCACAGAACAGCTATCTAGCAACTACCGCACCTGATCGTTCAACGTTGTGGCAAATGAAAAAATGCGTAAACATCTAGAAATAATAAGAAAAAAAGAAAATTAGTCGAATTTATCCCTAATTATCATTTACTCTGATAAATGCTTAAATAAACTTTTCAAATTTCAATCCTTCATATTTTCTCAATAACTCGACCGATTTTCAAAAACGAAGCGGGAAAATATAGAGAATAGAAAGCTCTTTTCATTGCGGCGCCACTTGACACCCCTTTCCATTTGAAAAAAGTTGGAGGATGACACCCCCGCTTAGAGGGTTGAATATTTTGCAATCATTTTTGGGGCAAAAGTTGTCCCCCTCACAAACAAAATTGACGTGTTTTTAGATTTTTTGAAAAAATAAATATCCTGGCCGTTATGCCTTGCGGAACGTTTTCGATGGGCCACCCTGTATAGTCACTTACTAGCGAAAAGTTATTCCATTATTTCCCTCGATTATTCACTGAGACCTATCTACCGCACGCTATCCAACCAACTATTTTTCAGTCTTTTTCGATAAATCGCAGTAGTGTCACTGTTAACTTAAGTTCTGCTACAATTTCCTTCTAGATTTACTACCTTTAAACAACTATCAGTAGCAGAATAAATAATAAATAACATAAAATAAGCTCAGTAAAGATATAACAATTCCAAAAAATTTCAATTAAAGACTAAAAAAAAACAATTAAAAACTGACAAATCCAAAAAATTTCAAATCAAATTCAAATGCATTTCAAATGTGTCAAATGAATTGTCAAACAGAACTGTCAACCTCTAGTCGCACCCTAGGGCCCTTTGTCCGTCTCTCTCTCTTTGGTCCGTTTCCCTGAAGAAGGATTAGTGACTATGATGTTCCTGTAGCGGTTTTTAACGTATTGTGCCAGTCCGCTCTGTTTTGAGCCATGCTGACGGTTTCATGAAGGCCTTGGCCGATTAGGTCTTTAGTTTGATCAACCCATCTCTTGGGTGATCTTCCTCGTGGTCGCTTTCCCTCTACCTTTCCCTCGACTATTAGCAGCTGCAGTAAGTCCGTTCTTCTAGCAATGTGACCAATATATGTCAGAAAACATCGGTTTATTTTTTTTGAGAGGCTGAGTTGTGAGTTTAGTTCTTGGAGAACTGACTCATTCGTACGATGGGCTGTCCAAGGTATACGTAGCAGACGTCTATATGCCCACATTTCAAAAGCATCTATTCGCCTGGTATCGCTTTTCTTCAGCGTCCATGTTTCCGCCCCATACGTAGCAATCGGGAAAACAAGCGAGTTCAGCAGTCTTAGTTTGGTGTTCTTAGTGATGGCTGTATCTTTCCATATCTTAGTTAATTTAGTTACGGCTGTTCTAGCCAGCGCAATTCTACGTCTTATTTCGCCTTCGCATGAGCCGCTGTTGTCGATTAGCGATCCCAGATATAAGTATTTATTAACCACCTTAAATCCAGCTATGTTTCCCACGTGAGGTTGGTTGTTGTTTTGTCGGTCCACAATCATGACAGTAGTTTTGTTAGGATTAAGTTTTAGCCCAAATTCTGTACTAGTTTCTTGGAGACGTTGCATAATAAATTCCATTTCTTCCACACTTGATGTTATGATTAGTGTATCGTCGGCATATCTTAGATTATTGATTTTCCTTCCCCCCACAGATACTCCACCTTGCCAGTTATCGAGAATATCACGCATTATGTACTCGGTATAAATATTGAACAATAGGGGTGAGAGAACACACCCCTGCCTGACACCCTTCATTGCTTGAAATCTATTTGATGTGACATCATTAATTCTTATAAGTCCGTAATTATGTTGGTATAGTTGTCGGATAAGTAGAATAAGGTGATCAGGAACCCCCATTTCCTTGAGTATTTGCCAAAGTTTTTGCCACTTGACTAGATCGAAGGCCTTAGAATAGTCGATAAAACAGAGATACATTTCTATGTTGAATTCTCGCGCTTTTTCTATTAACTGTCGTACGTTCCCTATCTGTTCTCTGGTACCCTTACCAGGCATAAAGCCAGTTTGTTCTTCTGCAATCTGTGGTAGTAGATATGGCCTGAGTCTGTTGTTAATAATCTGCAGGAGAATTTTGCATGCATGAGGAATTAAAGCAATCATTCGATAGTTATTGCAGTCTGCCGGATTACCCTTTTTATATAGTGGTATATATAGCGAGCTGCACCAGTCGTCTGGCCAAATTCCCGTCTTCCAAATCAGATTGCATATGAAATGAATAACATCAATTACCGGTTGCCCTATTGACTTTAATATCTCAGCAGCTACACCATCTATACCTGGGATTTATTTTTTGAGACGATTTAGGGCGTGTTCAACTTCTGATTTAAGGATCTCCGGTTCATGTTCGAATTGGTTGGGACGATTAATATTATTAGAAGATTCACCATCTTCGTAAAGCTTTGTGCAGTACTTTCGCCAGACTTCAGCAATACCATCCGGATCAGTAATCTTTCGACCATTTTCATCCCGTATAATTTGTGTACGTAGTTGAAACTCACGAGAGAGATATTTTACCTTATTGAATAGCTCTCTAGATTCGTTAGTTGCCGAGTGTCTTTCCAATTCTGTGCAAATCTCGTGGACGTGCGTGTTTTTATCCTGTCTACAGCTGTTTTTTATTTCTTTATTGATGTTTCTTAGTTTGTGTTCTTTGTCAAATGTTGTTGATATGACTAGGTTTCTTCTTTTTTCAAGCAAATTGATCGTATTATTCGACATCCAAGTTTTGTACTTTAATTTAGTGTTTCCAGATGTGCAACTTCCTTTAACTATTTCATTTATCCAAGTCCTAGTGTCATTCCACATTTCTTGTACGTCATTTTTTAGTGTGGGCATTTTTACCGATTTCATTGTTTTCATTATTCCTTCTTTAGTAGTTTTTTGTCCGTCTACCTTGCATGAATACATGGATAATGGATAGCGTTATACTCCTTCCTATTTTAACAAAAAAAAAAAAAATAACAATGCAAGGAGTACCTGAATATTGGGGTGCATGCCAAGTAGCGTCGATAAAAATGCCAATGTGTTGCCGCTAGTATCTGCTGCCTAAATCAAAATATATTTCATTTAATTTAAACAGAAAACAAACAAAATAAAGGAAAAAAACTCACAGCAAAAGTAAATGTCACCAATTCGTCATTAATAATTGTTCTATTGAAATATAATTTTTTATCAGCCTTTATAATTGAATCCAACAAAGTTTTGTTTTCATCAATATTCTTTTTAAGTTCCTGTTCTCTGTCAACAATAAGCTAAAAGAAAATATTAATAAAAAAAGTCCTTTGTAGTAATGGTATAATTAAAATACCTGCTGAGTAAAATTTCTGTATAATAATATAGATTTAAATAATTGGAAAACTTTAGGGGTTTTTGTAAGGACAAACAAGACTGCAAAGAAAAATCCGGAACCTACTCTAACTATATTGTCTCCAAGTATCTCTTGGCAACTAAAATCAAGTTTGCAAAAATAATCTAGAAAAAATCTTATTTAAACTAACAAACATTACTTATGTACTTACTGATCTATCCATTTTACCACCTCAGAACCCTCTTCTGTTTGTATATTATAGTTTTTGTTAGTCATGGTTTCTGCAATAAGTCATTAAGGATATAGTTAACAAATTAACAAATAAAAATTATTTTTATATTACGTATATACAGGGTGTCCCAATATTCCGTGGACATATCAGTACTACGTATTTGTGGAATCGAAATAAGCTCATTGGACACAATTTATTTGCGTCTATAAAAAAGTGCTTCGTTTGTCCGTTAGAGAGCATCAAACTTTAAAAAATAAACACATTTTTTAAGATACTTTTAGAACCGTTATTCCGATTTGAATGAGATTTTGGGTGTCTATAATTTGCTAAGTCATTTGACTTTCACAAAATTCAAGAAAAAGTGCGTGAAGGGTGAAAATTACCTCACCCCTACGTAAATTTTAGTATAAATATTTTCTAACTCCACCGACGACCGATTTTTGTTGTAAAATTGTCCTTCTAGTATTTACTACATTTTTGTCTCTTGTAAAAAACGCAACCCCGCATACTTTTTGAGGAAAATATAAAAATAGTTTTCCTAATGTAACTTCCAAAAAATGTTTCTTGTCGCATCAAGCTATGTAGGCACATAAAATCTATTATGTGCTAATAATCTAGTTGATAAAAATATGGAATTTTATGTTAGTATCACAAATAATATTTGACAATAACCCATATAACACACAATATCCGCAGGATATTCATAGAATGTCGGAATGTCCCATAATAAGATCATCTTATACAGACATCTATAGGATATCCTCCAGACATCCTGAAATCCTGTAGATGTCTCCGAATAGGATATCCTATGGATATCTCTGTCGTATATCTAATGTACATCCAGCTGAGATATCCAAACATGCTCATGATAATAAAATATCCTAACAATATCGTCGAGATATTTAGGAAAAATAAATAATGTACTACTTTTTATATTACATAAAATGCAATAAACCATACAGATAGATAATTATTACGTCAAGGCAACAAAATATCCTGTTGGTATCTTCTGGATAATCTGGATATTTATGAGCTGGGCCACTCCCAGTAATACAGAGAATTTAAAACGCCCGCGCAAAAAATTTCCCACAATCCATCGCGACAGTTGTTTGTTTTTGCATAGTGTATTATTCAGTTCTTTGATTTAGTGAAATTCGAGGTGAATTCGGTCGTTTGTCGATATTGAATGGGCTTAAAAATGACTGAAACTAATAAAACTGGTTGAGTTTGACTTAGTTTTTCCTTATACTCATAGTTCTAGCGTTGTTCTAGCAGAAATTCTATCCTAACCTCAACTAATGTCGAAAAACGACTAACGACTCAGGGGCTCACAATGAAAAATTTGTGACAAAATTACAGCTGAAAATTTGTTGAAAAGCACTTGTTCTTTATCCCTAAACCCATTTTCGTGTTTGATCTATTCGAACAGAAATCCTATTTTTGTGTTTAAATTGTGAGTTTCTGGAATGTGTGGTGTTAGAAATTATACCTGTATCCTGTGTGCTAACTTTGATGTAAACTGTTGCTGCTAGACATAAACTGCTAGACTCCATAACGGGTAGTATAATCTGGTATAATACCAAACGTTCGAAAAAAACGGCGTCAAAGGTGGCTTGGAAATGAAGATTGCTGTTATTTTGTATGTACAATTATATGGGGAATGTCATCGATCGTAATTTTCAAGCCAATTGAACGCCGTTTTTTTTCGATGGTACAGTATAAATTGAAAGGTCTTAACTCATACAAATAAACTTCTAAATTTTGACGCAAAATTAATTGACATAATATGTAGGTATATTTTAGAGCTGTTAATAAAAATATCCAATGAATAACGTCAAAATGTGTGGCTAAATAAAACTAAATCGGGAACGTTTTTACTATAAACTAAGGATGAAGAAAGTATTGTCAAATAACAGTCCTCATATAATGTCCTAAAAATATTCTATAATGCTCCCAACATCATCCTTGTATTATCCTATAAATATCCCAAATAATTGTAAAAGTCTTGCCTAGGGATGTCTTGAAGATGACTTTTTTTGTCCCATCTGGATATCCCATAAATATCCTCCTCTGGTTTTTGGATATCCCTAAGATATTTACTATATCCTTGGTGGATATCCTCAAAATATCTATAGGATTCAGCTTCATTCAAGCTTCATAAATTTTAAATTAATTAACGTTCGGGATTATTTTTGATTGATGCCTCTCTAAAGGACAAACGAAGCACTTTTGTATAGAGGTAAATATTGGGCCAATTAACTTGTTTTGATTAAAAAAATACGAAATTGTTTTATGTCCGCGCAATATTGGAACATTCAGTATAGTTTGTAGGTCTGCTTTGGAAAAAGAAATTCTCTAGTTGGGGCTTGGAACCTTTGGTGTTATACAATACAACAGCAGAATAAAACACTAATTTACCACAATAAACCAAAACACTTTACTTTTAACAGCTAATGCGCGTTTCGCTAACCATATCTTGGTGATGCTGCTAACATTGTTAGCAGGCCCGTTCCTGGGGTATCTGGCGCCTACGTGCAGCATTCTTTGGTGCGCCCTTTTTATATTTAAATCAATTATATATTTTAATCTTCATCTCAAAAATTTTAAGAATTTATATTCTGCGACAAACGAGCAATATGTTAATTGGAAATGTAAAAAAACTGTTCTAATTAAAGTATAAAAACATTTATTAAATAAAGAAAACAAACAAAACCACAAAAATATTTAGTAACAAAAATAGCACCCTAAAGAAAAAAACTGACCATTTTAAACAGTGCTTTCCATAAAATCAATAACATGAAAAATATACGAAATAATATACATGTACTGATTTCTGTCGAAAATCGACAACTATGAAACTATGATCCCTTCACCGACACAAACGGTATATTGTGAGACAGGAAATTGTAGAGAGAAACGAGCCCTATAACATAGAATACAACATTTTAATGAACAGTGCTTTCCATAAAATCAATAAAATGAAAAATATACGAAATAATATACATGTACTGATTTCTTTCGAAAATCGACAACTATGAAACTATGATCCCTTCACCGACACAAACGGTATATTGTGAGACAGGAAATTGTAGAGAGAAACAAGCCCTATAACATAGGATACAACATTTTAATGAACAGTGCTTTCCATAAAATCAATAAAATGAAAAATATACGAAATAATATACATGTACTGATTTCTCTCGAAAATCGACAACTATGAAACTATAATCCCTTCCCCGACACAAACAGTACATTGTGGGACAGGAAATTGTGGAGAGAAACAAGTCCTATAACATAGGATACAACATTTTAATGAACAATGCTTTCCATACAATGAATAAAATGAAAAATAAATAGATGAGATCAATGTGTTGCCGACAGATTGCCCTAGACTTGTTTATTCGGTGCAGCCAACGCAAAAAAGACGCTAAGCAAACTTTATCCTATGATGTATGTTTAAGTATTTGTTTATTAACAAGAAAGCGTATCGGTTTTTTGTTACAAAGTACTGATTGACACTTTGATTTTGCGCCCCCAAAATGTTGCGCCTACGTGCGTGCACGCACTGCACGCTCGCCAGGAACTGCCCTGATTGTTAGCAAAACGCGCGTCCAATGTAACAAGTAAAGTGTTTTGATATATTGCGATAAATTAGTGTTTAATTCTGCTGTGGAATTGTTCTTTAAATTACACATTACTTACCACAAAAGGAGTCATAGGCGTAGCAAACGAAAGTTTCAAACAAATTCTTATTCTGCACGTCTTTCAATTTTTCAATCAGAGTTTCGCTGTTTCTATAGAAAATTTGAACGTACGAATTCAGAATCGGTTGGCTGAAGTTTTTTGCTAAGAATTTTCGTCGAGGTTTCCATAGTTTTTCTATAAAACAAATAAAACATTCAGTAGATTTTAATAAAAAATTTTGAAACACAATATTATATATTAATAATCTGTTCAATGAGAGGATACATGATATTGACAATTGTTGTCTATCATTTTAATTCACAGATAAATTGTATTTTCTCTTATTTCTCGGATGTCGTCTATCGAAATCTTCCCTGACGACTCATAGAACAGACTTTAAATGTATGAAAGTATAATGACATAAATAATGTACTATGTATGTATATATAGTACATAAATAATGTACTATGTATCTATCACAAAAAGATCACAAAAACATCCCCCTTTAGAAATTCGTCTGTCATGTAAAAGAAATGAAAGTAAATAATAAAGCGCCTCTCGTGTTTGTTCGCACTTAAAAAATTTCAAATAATGCCTGTATATATTTTTAATCTATTTTTTAAATTTACATTTTTTTAATTGTAAAGTAATATATTACATTTAAATGGAATATACTACATAACAATTATGTCAATTACAGGATTACAAGCTTGTTTTCTAACATTTATTAAATAAAACGAATTATAAAATTTCAATATATGTATATTTGTCGTAGGTATGAAAAAAGTAAAATATAAAATGGACAGACGCTTATTCTACTTACATTGCAAATAAAACTTCCACTTTTAGTTTTGCAATCCAAACGCAACATATAAAAATATCCGACAACACTAAAATCACTCAAACTTCCGCGGCTGACAACGAAAACTAAAAAATATAACGGCACTTTTTGTTTTAGACCTGCATATCAACATTACGCTGTCCTATTATGTGTTTGTTGTTGAAATAATATAAAATATATCTAATTATTATAACTTGTAAATTTTAATATTTTTTCGTCATACTATATTGTTATATTATTATAACATAAGCAAAATCAGAATGGAAAAGATGCATATAACGTCCGCCGGACGTTATCATAACGGCCGGCGGCCGTTAAGCATAGATAAATGAAACAAGTTTAGATTGGAAAGTGCCCATAAGGACAATGTAAACACTATTTGGCGCTATTCTTGCAACGGTCGCGACCCAAAACTTTTGAAAATTTCGGAGCGGTTCGGTTTTTTCCGGAATTATATCGCCAAATATTGTTTATTCAAATTTATTATTATTTTCGTTTATAACCAGAGAGAGATATCAGCAGGAATATGACAATTTTTTGAAGTGGCGGCAGGATAGAAGTATAAACAGCGTAAATGAAGCGGTATTGCTGGCTTATGCTAAAAGAATGTCTGAAATGTATTCTCCTACATCACTGTGGACAAAGATATCCATGCTGAAGCTTGCGTTGAGAGTATATGAAAACATCGACATATCAAGGTAAAAAGCCATTATATTCTTCGATATTTAATCATACTCATCTAAATTATATTTGTTCATAGATTTGGTAAACTGTTCATGTTTCTGAGGCGCAAAAACGAAGGTTATTCACCAAAAAAGCCAAAGTTCTGTCGGAGAATGACATAAATAATTTTCTACTGGATGCCGATGATTACACCTGGTTACTCGAAAAAATTGTATTGGTGCTTGGTATTCTTGGAGCTTGTAGGCGCAGCGAGCTTTGGTCACTCACAGTTGATGATTTCGAAGATTCGGAGAAAAATATTCTTGTCTCATTAAGAAATACTAAAAATAAGAAAGATAGGAAATTTCTTATTCCAAAAACGGCCTTCCGTTTGATGCCTATGGTTTATACAAAAATACATCAACCTGCGTCCTCGTAACTTTGACAATCCAAAATTTTTCATTGGTTACAAGAAAGGCAAGTGTGTTAAGCAAATCGTCGGTATACATACCATCGGGAGCGTACCGCAGAAAATTGCAAAATTTTTGAACTTGGAGAATCCAGAACGTTATACAGGGCATTCATTTCGTAGATCATCAGCAACCATGCTCGCCGAAAATGGTGGTGATTTATTATCGCTAAAGGAGCTAGGAGGATGGGAGTCTTCAACAGTGGCAGAAACTTACATAGAAAAATCAGTTTCCAAAAGAATGAAAATAACAAATCAACTTTTTTCATGATAGCTCCAAAAATAATGTGTCTTTAGTGGATACAAATATTTGCCATTCTTCAGTAGCATCATCTTCTTCTATAAAATCTGTAAATCCCTGGGAAGGATTACAGATTTCTAAGAACAACAAGTGCACTTTTAATTTCCATGTTCATTATCATGAAAAATGAATTTTAGTATAAGACATTATGTATTTTTTATCCTTACTTGTGTTATTGTTCAATAAAATTTGTTATTAAATAGTAGTGTTTATTGCTCTAAAAAATCTGCAGTATGACGAAAAATCTAGAACGCAACACGGCCGATAACAAATAACGGCCTTGGCTGCTTATGATCCTCGGCTATCGCCTCGGATCACAAACTTCAGCCCGGCCGTTATTTGTTGTTTATCGGCCTTATTACGTTAATAACTATAACATGATTTTAACTACTTTTGACAATAACTAACTTTTTGTTATCAAGATGACATTTTAGACGGCAACTGACATATATGTCATAATATTTGAATCTTAAATATGTATGTAATATAATTTAAATTACTATATTGCAACTTTATACTAAGCAAAGATACTAAGAAAACATTTATACATTCAGAAAATACAACAAAGTCTAATAATATAGTTTGAAAACAATAAATATTGAATTAAAATTGAAAAAGTTAAGCGCGACCCCTTGTGTCAAAATTAGATGATTAAATTTTCGCAATTTTTACACCATTTGATGACCGGTGGCGCCTCTAGTGTTTGTTCGGGCGGTTGGGTTTTTACTCCCGCTTATGGCCATTAAAGAAAAAGTTCTAAAGGGGGATGTTCTATGGTATCTATCTCTTTCCTTATCTGCGTTGAAACCCTCTATTTTTGAATTTTTTAATTATATACAGTATGTAAAATTTTACCTGGCAACAACAAAATACTATTCCAAGCTCCTATTCTGAACGTATTGTAGAATTCGGATTTTTGCCATGAGTTGGGATGCGTTAAAATGGTTTGGATTTCCTCACCGTCATCTGTTGCATAATAAAAGTTATGTCCCAACCAACAACCATACGGAAAACCCTTTTTGATGCCTTCATTTATGCATATGTCGAACATACCTACAAGTAAACAAAAAAATCAAGTTGCTTCAGAAATGTTAAGCGATATCATAACATCGCATAATTTTACATTTTTAGTTTTTAGTTCAATAGTTTATTAAAAGCAAAGCTTATTTACTAGCAGCTAGTCATCTTTGTTTCTTTTAGAATATCCGTGTTTCATCTTCTGCGCATTTTCTTATATACAGGGTGAGTCAACGATAGAGTAAAGTCCATTATCTCATTTGTTTCGAGGTTTACAAAAAAATGTTAAATACAAAAGTTAAAGGGAAGGTTAAGATACACATTTTAAAATTATTATAAAGTATACAGGGTCCTTCAAAAATGTGTGGCGGATATAACATATGTTTTTTTTTTAAATGCAACACCCTATTTTTTATTTTATTTTTAGATTCTGCGTAAAATTCAATAACTTTTTTATATATAATGTTATATACCTAAAATTAATAGTTTTTGTAATATTTAAATTTGTTTATACAAATGTTAAATTGCAGTGTGGTATGTGTGAATTTCAACTATTTAAAATTAAAAAATCTCAAATTTTTTAAATGGTACACCCTATATATTTTCATTTTTTCTGATAGATTTTGCAAAGCTCTTCAACTTTTATTAAGTATGTCATATACCTATTTCTAATACCTAATTGTTATTATTAGTCAAAATTAACTAACTTTACTCAAATAAACTAAAATCGTAGTCGTGAATTTCTTGGTGTATTTCTATATTATGAAAGATGACATTTGGATTTTCCGTCGCGCGTCGTATAGCTTTTTCAATAAAAAAATTATAGCACAAAAAATTACTGATAAAAACTACGGTCGAATCAATGGAAAACGTAATTATTGCCGAAGAAATTTATTTTTTTCTTCCAGGTTCGGATCTAGGTGGATGAAATTTATATGTAACAGTATACTAGAAGGTTCACTCTATGATATTTTGCATATATAACCTTGCGCGAATGTAAGCATTTTTTTGAAAGTCATAATAAACATGTAGAAGCTAGACTTGAAAAAAAATGGGACATTTTTTTCAGGTTTGTTGTTGGTAAAAGACCTCTCTTTACGGAAAAAAATGTTGGAATTGAACAACACAAGGAAACTTCTGCAAATAATAAATCTCATTGTATGAAATTTTTGTACCGATTTAGTAAATTAAGGCTAAGAGGTCTACTCAAGAAATATCTCACATGGTGGGGCTCTGGGATGTCCTTTATCCATCTATATAAAAAACTTGATGAATTATTTTTTTTTGTTTTTTGGGCTAATGTCCCGCATTTCCCGATTTCGTTACACTGTACGTCGGGCCGAATAGCCACAGATTAGGGTAATATTAACTAGATTATCTAATTGTTGACGACTACTGATATTGAAATTTTCTCCGACATACAGTAATTTTTTTTTCTCGTTGTAATTCTGGTTTAGAATTCATTTCGTAAAGCCAATATTACTACTGCCACAAAACCGTCCCATTGAAAATATAATATCATATAATATGAAAATGTTTTCTAGATAATCTACATCTATTCTTAAAGTACTTAGCAAAGTACTATATAATATATAGTACTGAACCAAAAAATATGTTTATTTTGGCTTGTTCGTGTATATCAGTCACATTGACTAATCCATTTTCAGGAAAATCTGAAACTATTACCTCTACCTCTACCATTTATACTTATTATACAAACTAAACTAAACTAAAATTCAACAAATTAAACTAAAATTTACCTTTTGTTCTTAACTTGCTTAACAGACATGAAATTTTGATAATAATTATTATTTTTTGTTATGGTAACTATGATGTTACAGCGTAATTGTATTAAAGATATGGGTAAAAATAGAAAAAATTGGAATAAATCGCAATTATTAAAAATAGGTATATGACATACTTAATAAAAGTTGAAGAGCTTTGCAAAATCTATCAGAAAAAATCAAAATATATAGGGTGTACCATTTAAAAAATTTGAGATTTTTTAATTTTAAGTAGTTGAAATTTATAAATATATTTTGAACACCCTGTAGCATTTAACTAAAATATCTTAACATATATCTTCTTTTAAATCCCTATAGAATTGTCATACCAAATTTTGGTATTCCAACTTCAGAAACAATGGTACCACTGACTGAATTTTTTACCACACTGTGCAATTTAACATTTGTATAAACAAATTTAAATATTACAAAAACTATTAATTTTAGGTATATAACGCTATATATAAAAAAGTTATAGAATTTTACGCAGAATCTAAAAATGAAATAAAAAATAGGGTATTGGCCTTTAAAAAAACATATGTTATATCCGCCACACTTTTTTGAAGCACCCTGTATACTCTATAATAATTTTAAAATGTGTATCTTTATCTTCCCTATAACTTTTGCATTTAACATTTTTTTGTAAACCTCGAAACAAATGAGATAATGGACTTTACTCTAACGTTGACTCACCCTGTACATGCCAGCAGGGTCTCGATCTTTTTTTGGCGTTGTGACTGCTGGCATGTGCATAAAAATATGTGCAGTGTGATACGCGGACACTCAAAAATATTCAAAGTTTACTATCCGGTACTGGATTAGCTGTAGTTAATAGTGTAACAGTCCAAATATTATACTAACTCTTATTTCTAAGTTGAAAATAATGTCCAAAAATTGGATAGAATGTGTAATGGCTATATTTTTTGCCGAACCTAATGATATTTCTTTTGGTGTAAAGTGATATTATTGTCCATAGTGCTACAGCAATTAGTAGTACTGCTAATGTTTGTTCCAAAACCATATCACAATCTAAAAAGAAATAATATAACCTGTATATGAAAATATACGATATTCTCGTTCTAAACAATCAGACACTTAAGCCTCATTCAGAACCTCGAAATTAGTGGAATAAATTAGTGGTAGTCATTTTTAATTAGTAGAAAAAGTTAACAAACTATTAATTTTTCCCCTAATTAAGCTTGATTTTCATGCATCCGTTATCCGACGATACGATGATACGATATTTTATTGGTTGAATTTAAAGACTTCGATTGGTTAGAAACGGTTAACAAATCCTTTAAATTTAAACGAAGCCTTTAAATTTAACCAATAAAATTAATATCATATCATCGTATCGTCGGACAACGGATGCATGAAAATCAAGCTTTCATTAGAAATTGTGGTTTTCTTTCATAAGATATTTCGTCATGAGAAATTGTGGTTAGAAATCAAAAGTTGATTGTTTTATAAGCTCAGGCCTGGATTAAGGGGGGGGGGGGCTATGGGGGCTATAGCCCCAGGCCCCGTCATTGAGAGGGGCCCCCGAATCAGGAGAATTTAAAATCGAGATTAGTTAAATGAAAATGTACAGGGTCAGTCAAATTCGACGCTTTTAAATCGAAACACCCTTTTCTATAGGAGATAGACGAAAACTAATATCGGTGTCTGGAGCTCAATTTTCATCAAAAACATGATGGTGAAAACCGCACATCGATATCTGTTACCGTTTCGGAGTTACGGGGTGTTTTTCAAAAATGTGCATTTTTAACAAATCGCTGTAACTTTTTTGCTATGAAAAATTTTGTATTTCTATGAAAACATTTCCAAAGCACCTTTTTACGTAGAATTTAATGGTTTAAGTATAATTTTTTTAAAATTAATAATTTAAGAGTTATCAACAGAAAAATTGATTTTTTATTTGGGACACCCTCTATATTTTTAATTAACTGAAAAGAATCTAAAATTACCTTTCCAAAAATATAGCACACTTGATATTTTGTTATAATCCCCTTCGAAATACAGAATTTTTAAAAGTTCGCCACTTTTAACTAGTAGACTTTGGACCCCTTATTGATGATATGCCCTTAATGGAACTCGAAAACATTATATTTCCAGCAAGACGACGCACCGCCTCTGAACGCTGAAGTTATCAGCAAATTTTTGCAGCCAATTTCAAGAATAATTGAATAGCTAACCAAGATCCCAGTCATTGGCCGTCGAGGCCGCCTAACTCAGTGCCCATGGATATAATCCTATGGATATATTTGCGGAAGAATAAAGGTTTCTTATTCTTCCATATAATCTAGACAATAATTAAAAATACTTAGCAGTTATGAGAGGGTATCTTTCACCCCCACCGAGTTAATGAATTCCGCGAGAAATGTTCAAAAACTGACCCGTCTGTCCATAACAGAAGACGGTCGATATATCGAACACCTGTAGCAAAATCTCATGTCTTGGTTTGCTATTTATTTTTATTGTTATTAGATATAGTTTAAATGTGTTGATGTTGGTTAAATATATTTTAAATCGTTATAAAATTCTGCATCTCTCATAGCAAATATTATTTTCGTTTTAATTGATGCTCACAGCTAGAATTTTTTTGCATTACAGCCGGTGCCGTTCAAAGCCTACTTATTTAAAGAGGGCGAATTTTTATATACTCTATATCTCGAAGAGGAATTGAGCAAAATATCAAGTGTGTTATATTTTTGGAAAGCTAATTTTAAGTTATTTTCAATAAATTAAAAATATACAGGGTGTCCTATATAAAAAATCAAATTTTCTGTTGGTAATTCTTAAATTATTAATTTTAAAAAATTATACTTAAATCATGAAATTCTACGTAAAAAGGTGCTTTGGAAATGTTTTCATAAAAAAACAAAATTTTCCATAGCAAAAAAGTTACAGCGATTTGTTAAAAATGCATATTTTTGAAAAATACCCCGTAACTCCGAAACGGTAACAGATATCGATATGCGGTTTTCACCATCGTGTTTTTGACAAAAATTAAGCTCCAGACAGCGATATTAGTTTTTGTCTATCTCCTATAGAAAATTGTGTTTCCATTTAAAAGCGTCGAATTTAACCCACCCTGTACATATAATACGAAAAATACCAATTTGTAACAAAAACTACCGATTTTTCATCACATATTGTTATAAATCATCATAAATCTTGAATTTATCAACAATTATAAATAAGTAATTAAAACTGTATTTTAAAAACAATTAAAAAGAAAAATCCAGCCCGGAACACCTGCAACAGTGCAACAGAAATATATTTAGTCTTATTAAATATATTGCAACAGACAACTTGTTATTCTCATAATGGCAAAATTTGTAAAACGGTAAATTTAAGTTTAAAAAGATTTTTTATTTTCCAAAAACTTCTTTCTATGAACATAGTACGAACTAAAATGCCCAAAATCATTTCCAAAACTCTCATTTATAAAAAAAACAAATACAGAACTACTATGGGTGAAGCCATGCAGATTAGCCCATTTAGCTTTAATGAGTATTGAGAATGACCTTTTGTCTTCATTTAATTTTGATGATATTATATTATTGAAGAATTTCCTACTTTGAAAGCTCGAAAAAAAGCATTGTAAAAATTTTTATTAAGTATTTTTAATTATAATTTTAGTGTTGATTTTTGCTCGCTTTTTATTACCTGAGTGAGTGTATACCTACTACCAAATTACGCCTTTTTGTTCATAACAAAATTTGAGGGTGAGCCCCCCCCCCCATTATTTTGCTCCAAGCCCCTTTGTGTCTTAATCCGACCTGGGGGCACCGAGGGTAGCCCATAGCCCCGGGCCCCCTAGGACCTTAATCCGGCACTGTATAAGCTAAATATTACGCTTTCTCTATGGATACAACTGACTAACGCAAAGTGTTGCTAAGATATTCTAGTAATTTTAACACAAACTAAAAAATAAGTGTAATTGAAACCACTAATTTCGAGGTTCTGAATGAGGCATAAAGTTCATACTTAATAAAAATATTAAGAAACGAGTTTAGAGATTTAGATACGGATTCGATATCGCATGATCCCCATTTTTGACCTCCTTAATCTTTTAATGTTTTCAAATATTATAAACATACTGTACAGGGTGGGTCAAATTCGACGCTTTTAAATGGAAACACCTTTTTCTATAGGAAATAGACAAAAACTAATATCAGTGTCTGGAGCTCAATTTTTGTCAAAAACATGATGGTGAAAACTGCATATCGATATCTGTTACCGTTTCGGAGTTACGGGGTGTTTTTCAAAAATATGCATTTTTAACAAATCGCTGTAACTTTTTTGTTATGGAAAATTTTGTATTTTTATGAAAACATTTCCAAAGCACCTTTTTACGTAGAATTTAATGGTTTAAGTATAATTTTTTTAAAATTAATAATTTAAGAATTATCAACAGAAAACTTGATTTTTTATAAGGGACACCCTGTATATTTTTAATTTATTGAAAATAATTTAAAATTACCTTTCCAAAAATATACCACACTTGATATTTTGCTCGATTCCTCTTCGAGATATATAAAAATTCGCCCGCTTTAAATAAGTAGGCTTTGAAGGGCACCAGCTGTAATGCAAAAAAAATTCTGTGAGCATCAATTAAAACGAAAATAATATTTGCTATAAGAGATGCAGAATCTTATAACAATTTAAAATATATTTAACCAACATCAACACATTTAAACTATATCTAATAACAATAAAAATAAATAACAAACCATGACATGAGATTTTGCTACAGGTGTTCGACATATCGACCGTCTTCTGTTATGGACAGACGTGGCAGTTTTTGAACATTTCTCGCGGAATCATTAACTCAGTGGGTGAAAGATACCCTCTCATAACTGCTAAGTATTTCTAACTCTTGTCTAGATTATACGGAAGAATAAGGAACCTTTATTCTTCCGCAAATATATCCATAGGATTAGATCCATGGGCACTAAGTCAGGCGGCCTCGACGGCCAACAGCTGGGATCTTGGTTAGCTATTCAATTATTCTTGAAATTGGCTGCAAAAATTTGCTGATAACTTCAGCGTTCAGAGGCGGTGCGTCGTGTTGCTGCAAAAATATGTTTTCGAGTTCCATTAAGGGCATATCATCAATAAGGGGTCCAAAGCCTACTAGCACAGATAACACATAAGCTTTATTAGATTTTGTGTTATCTGTGCTACTAGTTAAAAGTGGCGAACTTTTAAAAATTCTGTATTTTGAAGGGAATTATAACAAAATATCAAGCGTGCTATATTTTTGGAAAGGTAATTTTAAATTATTTTCACTTAATTAAAAATATAGAGGGTGTCCCAAATAAAAAATCACATTTTCTGTTAATAACTCTTAAATTATTAATTTTAAAAAAATTATACTTAAACCATTAAATTCTACGTAAAGATGTGCTTTGGAAATGTTTTCATAGAAATACAAAATTTTCCATAGCTAAAAAGTTACAACGATTTGTTAAAAATGCACATTTTTTAAAAATACCCCGTAACTCCGAAACGATAACAGATATTGATGTGCGGTTTTCACCATCATGTTTTTGATGAAAATTGAGCTCCAGACATCGATATTAGTTTTCGTCTATCTCGTATAGAAAAGGGTGTTTCCATTTAAAAGCGTCGAATTTGACCCACCCTGTACAATTAGCATTAATGTATATACTGTAGCATTAATAGCACATTGTGTGTTGAAAAATCTTACCTCTGCAGAATATCACATTAGATTTATTTTGAAAATAAGTTTTAGACAACTGTGTTAGGTATAACAGAAAAAAAACACATTAATTATTGAAATTATATTATTAGAAACAAAGAATGAAAAAATTGAATATTTACACAGACGCCGAATAATCATTAATTATTTAAATTTTCGGTAACAATAACCCAGACCTTCAAGCTGCATTCCTCATAATGTGAACGTCAATTTAGAAAAAAAAATGGAATAATATCGTAATATTTGGATGACAAAGTAATCAAAACATCCTTTTTATAAAAAGATTTAAATTTTATTAATAATATTTTGTTTATTTAATAGAGCATGCTCATTTAAATATTTTTTTTAAAGTGGAACATATTTACGCGCGGTGGTAGTAAAAGTTCAAGGCCGCGACACACGAGCTAGCGTCACGACACGCGAGTGAACGATTTGGAGCGTCGTGTAAGCCATGTAAGCCAGGGGGCTTAAACCCGAAAAATGAGTTTCATATCACAGTGTCAGTGTCCCTTTGGCAGTTGGTTTTGACGTAACAAATGTCAAAAGTTATTGTCGTCCGATCGCGACCAAATTTGGTGGGTAGCAATGACTAAAGAATATAAGGACATGTAACGCCCCTATACGGGCTGCATCAGAATTTGTGACCTTTTTTTGTTTTGGTGGCAAACAATGAGTCATCATTTGGCCACCAGACATTTTAGCGATTTTGAATAGTTTGTGTGTAGTAAACTTTGTATAAACTTTATTACAATGGTGATTAGTTGTTCAGCTTTCAAGTGTAAAAGCAGCAGCGATAAGAAAGAGCCAGGAGTTACGTTTCATAAACAGTCCACTCCAACTTTTTAGCGTTTTCCTATTGAATTCGATAATTATTCTTCAATTTCAATTAACATCTATATGTACTTGATATGTCCTATACGTCGATACCAGTTTTGTACCTTTTGTTAACATTTTAATACGTTTTTTTTCGTAATTAATTAGGATGATACACCATAGGCGTAGTCAAAACAATTATCAAAAAATATAAATATTGCGTCAAACAGCTAGGTTAAGAAAAATATGTGCCACGGCACTGTTTGGTGACATCGTCACAATTTGCTCTCGTGTGTTACTTGTCCTTGGATTCTTTAGTCATTGGTGGGTAGGCTGTGGGCGACGGTGCCACACGGTCCAATCAGCAAAGTTGGATACGACGTTTCGTTTACGTCTTCATCAGGATAGGACTAAGGATTTGATATTGAAGAAAAATGTGGCTAAAACGGGCTACAGGATGATGCCCTCGACATTTCGAACCGATGCCTCTAAATGGACGAAATCATCAGGATTTTTCTTAATTATGTGTCTATTGGAACCAAACTAGGCACGTGGATAGAGGTACCCGAATGGAGTCCTCGTGGACAGACGGTCATTTTAATACAAATTTTGTGAAAGTGAATCAAATTATTTATTACTTTTTCAACGTTTCAAACTACACTTTTTCAAACATGTTCTTCAAATCTTTCAATTTAATAGCTGTTAGTAAGAAGTTTCATTTCAAATATGCGCACATAGAGAACCCACAATTTTTTTTATTTTATCATTTATACATATATTTAACAATTCATCTGTAAATTATTTAACTCATTCAAATATAATAGATATATTATAATTGATAATATATACATATAAACTCACCGGCAAAAAACGGGTCACTATAAACTAGTCCCAATTTCAAAGTTGGATTTCTTGCGAATCACTCATTAGATTTGATAATTTTTTTTTAAATTGTAAATTAATTTCTTCTTAACAGATGCTACGTCAGAAATTTTTATTCCGAATTTATTTTGAGTATATACAGGGCACAAAAATAAGACGAAGTTTTTTGCCCGAACTTTTTAACACCCTGTAGGGTGCAGCAGCTGTAGTAGCTTTACTCAAAGGCTTTACTAAATCAAATCACATTGTAGCCACATCTTTTGTGAGCATTTTGTTTTTTTAATCACGACATTATCTCTGTTTGTTGGAGATACGCTGCTTTAAAACGAAAAATGCTTAGCAGGCAGAAAGTTTTATCACAGAATATCTAGCTACGCAAGAGCGTAGCTAGATATTCTGTGGTTTTATGTATAAATAATCAAGGCGACGCGACATAGGCGAAAACGGATTTATGAGTATTTGCAATATGACAACAATGGTTGTCAAATTAAAAAATGTCATTATCTGTGACGGATGTTGCTCGTATTGTGGCCTTAATTGAGGATGGCCGAAGTCAAGGTTATGTATCCTATACCCTGGGTATACCTCGAACAACAGTCCAAGATGCCTGTAATCTGTATATGGAAACGGGAAATTTCACCAGGCGAATGGGTTCCGGAAGAAAACGGAAGACAAATGCAATTGACGACCTCTTAATTGTCCTGAATACTTTACGAAATCGTAGAATTACAGCGTTTCAGAATCAACATCTGTTACAAGCCGTGCGTAGAACTCAAGTAAATGAGAGAACAAGCCCCATGAAAGAAAACAGCTTGTCTGCAAGGAGGCCTGCCACAGGACCCCAGCTACTTCCAAGACATCGTCGAGCACGTCTTCAGTTTGCGCGTTTACATGTGAATTGGGATATTGAGCAATGGACTAAAGTCCTTTTCACGGATTTGCCTGCAAAGCATTTTTCCGAGACGTTCGTTTTAAAGCATCGTATCTCCAATACAAACAGAGATAATGTCGTGATTAAAAAAACAAAATGCTCACAAAAGATGAGGCGACAATGTGATTTGATTTAGCAATAGCTACTACAGCTGCTGCACCCTACAGGGTGTTACAAAGGTCGGGCGAAAAACTTTGTCATATTGTTGTGCCCTGTATATGCTCAAAATAAATTCGGAATAAAAATTTCTGACGTAGCATCCGTTAAGAAGGAACTAATTTACAATTTAAAAAAACATCATCAAAATCTAATGAGTGGTTCGCGAGAAATCCAACTTTGAAATTGGGACTAGTTTTAGTGGCCGGTTTTTTTGCCGGTGAGTGTATAAATATTTAAACACCAAGTTATAACTTACAAGGGTAAACTAAATAAATTTATTTAAAACAATTGAAATTTTTAGGAAACAAAATACAATTTTTGTTGCATAAGAAAATTATTTTCTTGTATATATTTTAATAAATATAAGATATTGACATCTGTCATCTAGGTGTGAATTTGCAGTCCAGATTATGTCTGGCTCTCATGGTTACAAATGATCGTAGATTTATTTCATCCACCGATTTGTAGTTGGAAAACATCTTATAATGACGGATGACATTTGCAGCAACAACTTTCAAACTCATCATTGCATAAGTTCTACCTAAAAACACATAATTATTAGAATTATTTAAATTTAAATCTAAAGGATCAATGATATTAAGAATTTAATTATTGAAAGAATTTCGAATTCCTGAATTTATCATTCCAGAAATCTAAAAAATCCAAAAAATATTTTAGTTCGAATCCATAAGAAAACCAGCTTGTTAGCATTTTAGGAAAAATAATCTTTTATTCTCTACAGTTCACTATGAGAGACAAAAGATCCAGAATTTATTTTCAAGAAATGGGCCTGCCATAAAGACGTACTATATAGGGTGGTGACAATTTCGATGCTCAACATTGGCATCTCAGAAACTACGAGAGATACGAAATCGATTAAATGGGATAAAAGTTGCGTAATTAGATGTTTAACAAACACCTATGAAGAAAACCCCGATATCTTGATTAGTTTAGGATATATGTCAAAAAAATGAAAATAATACGTTTATATTAAATGACAATATCTTCAGAACTATTGGATCTATTAGAACGTAAGTTGGTAGTTTTATATTTTTAACCTCGGCCAATTAGGGCAAGTCCGGTACAGATGCCCCACCGGGTGAGATGGGAACAGCGTGTAAATTTCTAGTCATGTGACTTATAAGTCGCTTCCCACTAGATACGGCAGTATACCTGCTGCTATTGCTAATATGGTCTGACATAATTTGAATGTCAATAAAAAATAGGCTAGTTTTTACAAAGAACTGTTTTTATATAAGTACATATTTTTTTTACTGTCAGAGGTCGCTTGGGAATAACGTAATATTATGTAAGTTTTTGCCATTTTCCATTAAAATAATAGTATAGACTTTTTTTCGCTCTATCTAACAGTATAAAAATTCAAAATGGCGGTCATAAGAAAATAATAACTTGACTGTTGTGCGAAATCTAGAAGGCTTAAAAATTTTCTGAAAACGACATCTAATTGGCCGATGTCAAAAATATAAAACCAACAACTTACGTTGCAATAGATACAATAGTTCTGAAGATATTGTCATTTAAAATAAACGTATTATTTTCATTTTTTTTACATAAATCCGAAAGTGATCAAGATACCGGTGTTTTCTTCATAGATGTTTGTCAAACTTCTAATTACGCAACTTTTGTCCCATTTAACCGAATTCGTATCTCTCGTAGTTTCTGAGATATCAATGATGAGCATCGAAATTGTCACCACCCTGTATACCTAGACATTATTGAGAAAGTTATTATAGTTATTTATTGGTTTGAAACTTTTTTATATTAACGGTCGAAATAATAAACTCGATTCTATAATATAAAATAAGGTGGAATTTAAAACCAACATAAACTATTATAATAACTTACCAATACAGTTCCGAGGTCCTGTAGAAAATGGAATGTAGCAAAACGATGGCCTTTTTGCCACTTCTTCTGGTAGAAATCGATCTGGGTTAAATTTTAAAGGATCAGTCCAAAATCGTTCATCACGATGCAGAGTGAATATACTTATTACTATATTTATTCCTTTTGGTATTGTTTTTGTACCTAAATTATAAACATTAATCTTCATATTATTTTTGAATATACACTGCAATATTTTTAACTGGAATATCCAATAATCGGAACACCCCCATTATGATGTTATACATATCAAAAGCTGTTAGTATTTCTCCATGTATAATTAATTATTCGCTAGTGACAGTCAACAGATAAATATTGAACACCGGGTTCATTTTTTGAAAAATTACCCAGAATCTTTTCAAAAGGTTTAGACATTATTTTTTGAGCCGTTTTTTAAAACTACTTCGAACTCTCAAAATTTTTCTATTCTACTAGCCTACACGAATTTCTAATAGTTTTTCAGATAAAAAATAAATTATAATTATTAACTTTTACAATTATTGACGAAATATATGATTTGGAATAAGCATTGGATAAATCATAAATTCGGCATATTAAAAGCTAAAATTCGGTTTATAGATTAAGGAAAATCGATATATTCGATCTGACTAAATCAACTGTTTGTATATCAAATAGGAAGGCCAGAAAAAATAATTATTTCTGTTTGTTATAAAATCGTTGAAATTATTGTTATTTTAAATTTAAACCTATGTATATTATTTAAAAAATCGAAACCCAAATAAAACTACTTTTCAACGATATATCAAGATCCTAGTTTCTTCAGTAGAGCCATTTAAAAGACGAAAATTATATTATAATAGTTTCGTTTAAGGAAAATTATTGTTACCATGACTTACAAACTTTATATGGTAATCGCAAGACAATTTCCGATGCACGTGATCTGTTTTTAGTTCAGTAGAATTTAAGTTTTTATGTCTTACCACATTCTATATCTTTCGTAGCATGCCTTCCTATTGCTGGAGCAATTGGAAATAGTCGGAGAGTTTCAAAAATAACTCTTTCCAGATATTTCAGTTTGGGTAAATCTTGTACTTCTATTAGACGATCCAAACCTATTTCCTTCAAGATTTCCTCATAAACTTTATCCTAAATTAATTTCTAATATGTATAACAATTAGGTATACAGGGTGGTCCATCGAAAACGTTCCGCCAGGCATAACGGCTAGGGTATCATTTTTTTCAAAAAATCCAAAAACACGTCAATTTTGTTTGTGAGGGGGACAACTTTTGCCCCAAAAATGATTGCGAAATCTTCAACCCTCTAAGCGGGGGTGTCATCCCCCAACTTTTTTCAAATGGGAAGGGGGGTCAAGTGGCACCGCAATGAAAAGACCTTTTTATTCTTTATATTTTCCCGCCTCGTTTTTGAAAATCCGTCAAATCATTGAGAAAATATGAAGGATTGAAATTTGAAAAGTTTATTGAAACATTTATCAGAGTAAAGGATAAGGATAAATTCTTTCGACCAATTTGAGGTTTTTTCTTATTATTTCTAGATGTTTATGCATTTTTCACTTGCCACAAGGTTAAACGATCAGGTGCGGTAGTTGCTAGATAGCTGTTCTGTGACTTGTGCGTTGAAGTTCTTCTCAATATCGTTAAACTGACTCACAATAGAATTTCCAAAAATACCAGCCCAACCGTTCAATTTATGAGGGTTTTATGCGTGCACCTCGTGAAAAACCCTGGGGTTGTCTTCAGCCCAGTACCGACCAGTTGTGCCGATTAACTACACCGTTCAAAAAGAAAGTACACTCATCCAAAAAACACACATTAAATAGAAAATTATTATCATTCGCCACTCGTTCACTCATAGTTTCACAAAATTGCAAGCGACGATCAAAATCGTCTTCGTTGAGTTCTTGTACCAACTGAATTTTGTACGGGTGGAACTTCCGTTTTTTTAATATCCTTTGGACACTTTGCTACTAACTAGCGAACAATTTTGCCATAAAGGTGGTTGTGAGGATGGCGTTCATTGAATATCTGTGCAACTCGATTGCCACATTCATTATTTTTAAAATAAAGTTCGATTATTTCCACTTTTTATGCAAGTGAGTACACCATAATAATTGTTAAAAAATTTAACGATATTGAGAAGAACTTCAACGCATAAGTCACAGAACAGCTATCTAGCAACTACCGCACCTGATCGTTCAACCTTGTGACAAGTGAAAAAATGCGTAAACATCTAGAAATAATAAGAAAAAACAGCAAATTGGTCGAAGAAATTTATCCTTCTCATTCGCTCTGATAAATGTTTAAATAAACTTTTCAAATTTGAATCTAATAAATAAAAAATAATATTATTTTTATTTTTTGTTCTTTGACATTATAAACATTTATAAATGTTTATTTTAACAAGAAGACTGACAATATTATTTGTATAATGTTTTGTATTATCTTTTGTTTGTTTGTTTGTTTGTGTACCTTGTTTTTTACTTTGTTTGTTAGTTTACCTTTGTCTACAAATTGAAAAAATTTTTTGACAATAAAGGCATTTATTTATTTAATCCTTCATATTTTCTCAATAACTCGACCGATTTTCAAAAACAAAGCCGGAAAGTATAGAGAATAGAAAGCCCTTTTCATTGCGGTACCACTTGACCCCCCTTCCCATTTGAAAAAAATTGAGGGATGACGCCCCCGCTTAAAGGGTTGAAGATTTTGCAATCATTTTTGGGGCAAAAGTTGCAACCCTCACAAACAAAATTAACGTGTTTTTGAATTTTCTGAAAAAAAATTACCCTCGTCGTTATGCCTTGCGGAACGTTTTCGATGGGCCATCCTGTATAATATAGGCTTGTTATTTAAAAAAAATAAAAATAGTAAGCTAGACAGTTTTGATCTTCAGATTATTTATGAATTTAAAAATGAGTTATTATATTCTAGTTTATTTCAGTAAGTTACAATTAATTACCTGAATATTGACATGCATGCCCAAAAGAGTCAATAAGAAAGCCAAAGCAGTGCCACTTGTATCAGCTGCCTAAAAAAAAATACAATAAATTTAAGAAACAGGACGAGATTTTAATATGTAGTAAATTGAAGTACACTATGATCGAAAAAACGGCGTCCACTTGGCTTGGAAATATCACAATATAAAATGACAGCTAACTTCGCATTTCATAGCCACCGCTGACGCAGTTTTTTTTAACATATTGTATATCTTATACAGGGCAGGTGTCATTTTATATGTAAAATTATACGGGGAATATCATCGATGTTCATTTCTAAGCCAACTGATACCGTTTTTTTATCATAGGGTATAATATAAGTAAAACAATCTAAATATATGTGACATCACCAGTTGGAGAGAACCACAATACAGGTACATGAGAAAAATACTTACGGCAAAAGCAAATGTGGCAAATTCGTCATTTATGGCATACCTCGAATACAGATTTTTATCAGCATTTATTATCGAATTCAATAATATTTTGTTAGTGTCTTCTAGTGAGTTTTCTTTAATTTCCTTTTCTTTTTCAGCTACAACCTAAAAAGATAAGTAAATTTTGATCTGCAAATTTTATAAAATTGATTATTTTTTATATTAATTATTTATATTCTCTCTTATTAAGTTATGCTAGGAATGATAAATTCAGGACGTTAAAAGTCAGTAAATAGCTTACTTTCTTAAAAAAATGGAACTTCAAAATTAACTTAAAACACTGGAAATCTTTCTTGTGATAAAATGTTTGTTTCCTGTTACCTGTTGGATAAATATTCTGTATAGAATTACACACGTATACAGTCGAAAACCCTGTATAATATTCGTCCAGATGCAGAAAAAATAGAAGAGATTGCCTGAAGTTCCATTTACAAAATGTTCTCCAGCTATTTCTTGACAACTAAAAATATCAAAGAATTCAAATTTCAAATTTCAAATACACTAAAATTCTGACTTATTCTATATTCCATACCAATTAAACTTTTAGTTACGTAATCGAAGGCGCGACTTTTAAATTCATTGTTGCCAACCGTGGGCGTATTCTAACTGGTGGCAGGGCTGACTAACTGGAATTTAAATTTCCCGCTATAGATTCAGGGCGTAGCTTTGCTTTAAAAAATGTCAAGTTGCCACATTTATTTATTTTTATTCCCTGGTATTGTGAGTCGTTTTGACACTTTAGTTTTGTATTACGAGTTTATGGTTTAAATTAATTATGTTGTTGATATTTTAAGCTTAAAAATTTTTGTTAGCAGACCTTGCAATCGAACATTGCTCTTTTTAGAACCTCTTTTAGTGCGACGTGGTACAAGATAGCTTAATAGCCGTGAAAAACTTATCGCAAATTTATTAGAATATTTTAAACAGGAAAGCGGTAGTATTGGCCTTTCATTTACTTAAGTGCTGTTAAGGGGTTGAGTTTTGTTGATGTAAATAATAACTGTTTATATATTTATAATTTATTTATTTTCGTTTCCTAAAATATTTTGATTAAAGGAACATATGTTAAAGTGAGAAAAGCTGTGCCGACCAAGCTTAATCACGTGACTAAAATTTTATTTGGTATAAACTATATATAGTTATTTATGTATCAAGGGAATTATAAGGGCGTTAATTACCAAGAAGGCAAAGTTTCTGAACGTTCTGGACAATAGTTGCCAGAGATTAATAACACTATAATTCCGGTGGTACATACGTAATTTTATTTCTTACCGATTTTAATATATTTTGTCTAAAGTTTTTATAATTCATAAATATTATTTGTATTTATGGTTTATCACTATTTACTCTTACAGATTTTACTTAAAAACTTACAGATCAATATGCCTAATCACTTTGGCACCTTCCTCTGTTTGCAAATTGTAGTTCTTGTTTGTCATAGTTTCTAAACATAATATAATTATAAACAATTATCTGGAGATACAGATATCACCAATTTTATCTATTATGTTTCAATACATCACGGTAATAAATTAGGTATAGATACATACATCTCACAAAATTGAAATTTTAAGTAATTTTCAAATACTACCTAAAAATGCATTGAATGCATAACCAACGCAAACTTCAAAAATATCTTTATTTCCCATATTTTTAAGCCTCTGGATCAAAGTCTGGCTATTTTTGTAGAAAATGGGAACAAATGAGTTAAGGGTAGTTAGACTGAAGCTTTTCGCCAAATATTTTCTTTTTGGTTTCCAGAGATTTCCTAAAAATATAGAATTTTATTATTGTAGTATCTTTTTGTTTAAAAAACATGTAATGGTCTATCTTTTTAATTAATACCTGGTAATAGAAGAATGCTAGTCCATATACATAATTTAACTACTTTGTAGAAATCTGCTTTATCAAGGCAATCCTGATTTGTCAACACTAATTTCATTTCTTCAGTGTCATCTGGCAAATAATAATAGTTGTGTCCTAACCAACATCCAGTAGGAAGACCATTCTTATACCCTTTGTTTACAAATAACTCAAACATATCTATAAACCAAAATATTCTAAAGTTATATAATATGTCCATGAGTAATATAAAAATATAGGGCTACCTCAATTTTAAATAAGACATATTGAGGTGCAGGGTTGGCATGATTTAAATCAAGTGATTTAAATCATGACTTAAATCGTGATTTAAATCAAGTGATTTTTTAAATTTTAAATCATGTGATTTAAATCAAAAAAATAATTTTATTGAAACTTTATAATAAATCAAAAAATAACTGTAAAAGGTATAAAAATGTGTCTGAAAACCATAACAAATATTTATATAATAGATAATAAACCGAAAAATAATTGTAAATGTTATAAAAAATGCTATATAAAAATATCTATTCATCAATTTAATTGTTGGCCCGATTTTTGAATTAATTTCGTGTGAATCCATTAGATCGTTAAACGCACAGTGAATTATTTTTAAACTTATATATAAGTGACAGAAATTTACTGTTCGAATACATATCATTCGCAAAATCTAGTGCAGAACTAAGTTCTTCTGACATATAGACTATAATATCTTCATTCCCCAGAATCTATAATCGTTGTCAGAAAATATGTTGTTTTATATTTTTTTTGAAACGGTTGTGTTTCCAAATTCCTATCGACATTTTGATCTACAGTAAACAGTAAGTACTTTACACTTTGACATAATACATACTAACTTTATTCTCGACTTAAAACTATTTCCGAACAATAGTGTATTGTTTTATTAGGAGCAAAAATTATACATTTTTTGACGCCTTTGAAGGACCATCGTAAAGCTATTCCGACGTTACAGAGAGGCACAAAAAGTACATTTTTACTCCGAATAGAACATACTATTTTTTTAATCAATTTCAAACATACAAAGAGTAATCGAGCAACAATTTGTACACTCGTTGAATTTGACACTTAATATCAGTTTAATAATATACTTTTGTGCTTAGGCGTAACAGTGCTTTACTCTTATACCTAGGCGTTAAAATGACAAAAATTAATTAAAATGACAGGCGCCGTAAAATTTTGTTAATGTTATCGGTATCGTGCAGAGTTATAAAGATTTAGCCATTTAGGATACGACTTTAATTGGAAATAAGTCCTAGTCATTTGGAAATCCGATTTAAATATTGTTTTGAATTAAAATCAAAATAATCTGATTTAAATAAAAAAAATCTGATTTTTTTGATTTTTTTAAAAACTAACACACTAATTATAGAAAGATTAAAAAAGGATAGAACCCCCCCCCCTCCGTTTTAAGACACACGAATCTATTTCCTAAAAAAAATAAGTTTACTTAATTTTAAACTACGCACCACTTAAAAATCATTTTTACCCAATATAAAAATAAATAACAACCTTTTTAAGACCAACCGGCTGTAAGCGCCATTAAAAAAACAAGAGTACTGGCTAGGTTTGGTTTGGTTTGATTGTCATTCCTCAGCCGTCTCTGATGCCGTTTTTTTTCGATCAATTGTCATAAAAAAGTTATATCAAAATCAACTAAGCATTCCGAGTAACAAAAGAAATGTGCCAAATCTTTAAAGCGTTAGAATATTTTACATTCTAATATCACAATTAATTAATAAATAAATAAAATCATTTTTTTTTAATTTGTTGCCTAGACAGCTCTCATATTAATAGTGTCACCTGGCAATTCATGATGATTTGACATGATGATTATGAAAACTTACCAGTGTTTTTCAGACTCAGCGAATTTCCGACAATCGGATAGAACGTATAGGAATTTTTGTAATTTTCCGCAAATTTAAAAATTCGTCTTTTTGAGTAGAGCGACCATGCCGTCCATAACAAAATTAAGATAAAAACTAATCCTAGTCCAAAAACGAATTTAATCCACACCATCTCTAAGATCTATCTAAAATAATATAGAAGAAAAAGATTAAACGGCTCAGCCCTCAATAACTCATAACCGTATACACCAGTGTACACCGGTGCAGACACGTACACTCACACAACCACACCTACACTAATGTACACTGATGTAACTGCCTTCAGGCTTCATCAGTACGGTAAGGAATCAGGAAGCGATGAAACCGATCCCAAAACACAAAAAAAAACAGGAAGCAAACGATGCAACAAGGCACCGTGTGTAACCCAGGAGATGAAAAAAAATGATGAAGAAGCGAAAATAAATTATGGAAAATAAAAGGAGCAAACGGGAGCCTAAAGCCCCAATTTGTAGCCAAGAACCAGAGTCGCCCAGGATTGCGGGCTTCGTCCAGAACAGCTGCGGAGCAACCCGCCGCAATACCCTTAGCCGTGGTACCAGTATGAATAAGAAATAAATAGTGAGGGAAATGTATATTTATTTCTTATTCATATTGGTACCACGGCTAAGGGTATTGCGGCGGGTTGCTGTTGGCTACCTCCGCTGCTGGACGAAGCCCGCAATCCTGGGCGACTCTTGTGCTTGGCTGCAAATTGGGGCTCCCGTTTGCTCCTTTTATTTTCCAACATTTATTTTCGCTTCTTCATCAATTTTTTTTCCATCTCCTGGGTTGCACACGGTGCCTCGTTGCATCGTTTGCTTCCTGGTTTTTTGTGTTTTTGGATCGGTTTCATCGCTTCCTGATTCCTTACCGTACTGATGAAGCCTGAAGGCAGTTACATCAGTGTACACTAGTGTAGGTGTGGTTGTGTGAGTGTACGTGTCTGCACTGGTGTACACTGGTATACGGTTACGAGTTGTTGAGGGCTGAGCCGTTTAATATTTTTCTTCTCTTTTATACATTTCCCTCACTATTTATTTCTTATTCATAAAATAATATAACTATAATCAATAAGTAAACTTAGAAAGAGCACCGAAATGCGGAAATGACCAGCTGGTACTGAAAAAGCTGTGGTATTATTAGACAATGACTAAAAGTAAAAAATGTTTAATAATATCAATAGCTTTGTAACCTGTTTATTTCTTCATAAAATATTTAACTAATGAAACAAATTTACCTAACGCGGACTAAATATTATTAACGTTTCAGGAGGTACATGGGGGACATACCGAGTGCGTCTCATAAGTAGCTCACCTCTATAACTGTTTTATTTTTTCAGATAAAAAATCGAGATTTGGTATATTAATATATGACATAAATTAGGATTGTAGTATTGACGTATTCAATAACTATTTTCTGTCACTTCCTTTTTCACCGGAAATTACTACAACTTTTGATTTTTAAATAGTACCCTCGGTCGCGGTGTTTTGTTGCTTTATTCGATAGAAAATGACACTCTGAATAAAATGGCATATCATATGTCAACATTTTTTGTTTTGACAACAATGTTTTGACATTTTCGAATATGGTTTATTTGAAATTGCAACATGCGATTCATAACAAAAATTTGACTCGAAATACCAAGTGTGTAGTACCAAATTATTCGTAAAAAAATGTTTTTTCCAAATATGCTAATGAGCCACCCTCGTTCCATTTGAAACAATTGAGATATGATTAAATATACGATTTGGGCATGTTTTAACCGGCCACGACAAGATACGAATAACATTAGACGATCAAAGCTATTTTTCCTAGGCTCCTTGATTAAACATTAGTGTTTTTAACATAGCTATGGCACTCTAGATTGAAATTTAAAATTCAATATTGTTTTAAGCAAAAATGTCAAAAGTTGACATATGATATATCATTCTATTCAGAATGTCATTTTCTATCGAATAAAGTAAAAAAAAATACCGAGGGTGTCATTTAAAAATCAAAAGTTCGAGTAATTTCCGGTGAAACAGGACGTGGCCGAAAAGAATTGAATATTTCAATCAATCCTAATTTATGACATATACTAACATACCAAATCTCGTTTTTTTTATCTGATAAAATAAAAAAGTTATAGGGGCCAGCCACTTTTGATACGCATGCATCCGGTATAGGCTTAGGCACTTGACACAAGAAACATTTAATATTGAACTAAAATGACACTGACATAAAAATTATCGCTATAATATATTATATTGTATACGGTTATTTTACTTACCATCAGTAACTGATATTAATATTCTCTCAATATTTTCATTTACTATAAACCTGAAATGGTATTTTTATATTAGAGCACTCACGCATCTCTGTTTTCTTATTTTTCTGAGAACAAATTATACAGTTAATTTTTAAACTGAAACAAATATTTTAACATGATAGATAATAAACCGATGAGAGGCAACACTTTATTGACTACTTTGTGTTTGATTTAATTAATAAAAAAAATTAATATTTATAAATTCTAATCATTTTCCGTATTATTTTTCGTAAGTGTATTCATTAAAATATTTATAGAAAGCGACAAAAAAGTGGTTATTGTTAATAACAAAAGCAACAAAAAAAATGAACTTGACCTAACGTGCTACAAAAAATAGAATTTTCCGTTGCTATACGAGGGATTTAGTAAACATAAAATGATTATGCATAATACAGGGTGGTCCGAATTGTATTCGGGAAACTCCGGCAGCATATTCTGCAGATAAATACAAATAAAAAAAATCGTATAAATTTATGTCCTAAAATGCTTAGTTTTGGAGATACAGGGTGTAGAAGTTTGATTTTTATTTCAGTTTTTTCCAAATAATTTCTGAACTATAGTCGATATTTGGATAAAAATTAGCGTCATGTAGGGGGCGCCACCTACATGTGTTTTAATTGTTTTAAAGAGTAATAACTTTTTGTCCGTACCTGTATAAAACTATTGAGTGAAAAATATACATTTCCGTTATTTTTAACGTAAAAAATGTCTCTTGGTAAAAACCGCAACGAGCAACCGTTCTCAAGATATTTAGAATATAAATAGTCAATACATGTCATTATTGACAAAAATTAAACATTTTATTAAGTAGATAATTATTTGGCTGAAATGAGAAATTTAGGAACTTAATTAATCATAATTTTTTCATTTTTAAATAAAATGATAAAACTTGGGGCAAATGTATTTTTTTAAATTTATTATCAGTCTATAGTCTAATAACTATTTAGCCATGTTTAATTTATGTCAATGATGACAGATATCGATAACTTCGATTCCAAATATCTCGAGAACCATTCCTCGTAGCGATTTTCGTAATATATATTTTTTTCCGCGAAAATATCGTAAATGTATATATTTTACTCGTTAATTTTATACAGGTACCTACGAAAAGGTTTGCAAAAGGGTTGCAAACCAGCTAGCAATTTTCATACAAATATCGACGCTAGTTCAGGAAAAAATCGAAATAAAAATGAAACTTCTACACCCTGTATCTCCGAAACCAAGCATTTTAGGACATCATTTATACAAACTTTTTTAGTTATTTTTATCTGCAGAATATTCTGCCGAAGTTTCTCGAATACAATTCAGACCACCCCGCATAAATCTTAAAACAAAATCAGCTGGGTTAAAAAAATAGTTAAAAGCTTTATTGTAATTTGTTATAATTATAATTTGATATATTTAACATAACGTTTTAAAATTATTTCGTCAATCTCTTGGAGTAAAATGGCAGTCTATGCCATGTTTCGTCCTCATGGTCATGTAACATCTCATCTCCATCTCATCTATCGATCGATACTTTGACGACACTCGAAAATTTCTTATCACGTTGGCCACGACCACTTTTATGGACATGGTAGCAAACATTTTTCCTACAAAAAGAAAACATTAGGTATTGAGATTGCATATTCTCAAGATCTATGGTTAGCATTTCTGTTTTGGGTAGGAACTTTTGGCTTTACAACAGCGAAATAAAACGCTAATTTACCGCAATACACCAAAACACTAGTTTTAATCATCTGCCGATGATGCTAAGCTAGGACTGTCCTTTTTTTTATCCAAACCAAACCAAAAGTATGTGAAATAAATAAACATATAAGTTGAAACACCGAAATCTAATGAAATCAAATTATAAATGTGATTTATTTGTTTTTTTTTAAGGACAGACCTTAAAATATACTTCAGTTAGGGTTAGATTTAATTATGTGTAATTGTATTTACGGTAATTATAATATTTACATGGATATTAGTAATAATTTGGAAAATAACGTAGAAATGGTTATAGTAACGACATCTGTGACAAGTAGGATGAACTAGACCGGGAACGACAGGGTAGTTGAGGTTTTCTCAGACCAATCAGACGGTTCCTGAAAAGCGAACCCGAAGAGGATTGAGAATGGCTCGGCTTTTGGTGGTTCCCTATTCTTTTTACCCGCCCATTTTAAAGATTTCGAGGATTAGGAAAATAGTTTTTTGGATCAGTTCGGTACTGACTTTTAAATTAGACGGTCGAATTTACTCCGTGTAGATCTTATATTATCCAGTGGTTTTTCTTAATTATTTTAGTAAGTTTTCTATCTAAAGATTTTCTTAAATGATATTCAATTCTCAAGTTAGGAAATTTTAAACATTTCATGTATAAAGATTTTTAATTTGTTGTTTTAGATTTTCTTTAATATTTTCTTTATTAATGATTTAAGACTTTCTGTTCTAAAGGCTTTAGTAAAAGTTAGATGTCATCACATAAATTATTATTTTGCAACTGTTCTTTTTATTAAATTCTAATTTAAATAAAATTGTTCAGTTTATATTTTTTTTTTGACATGTTAATTTTCTGGCAACGATAACTCTAAGAGAGATTTGAATTGTATGTTAATTTTAGATAATTTAGATTGGACTAATAAGAAGAATATTTTGTAATTTTAACTTTATCATCTCTGTGTGTGAGTTTTGATATCATTTATTCATTCATTATTTATTTTTGATTAAATTTCTTTTTTTTATATTTCATTAATTATAAATGTTTTGTTGTTAAATCTTTTTCTTTATTTTTATTCATTTATTTCTTTATATTAAATATAGTTAGGTGTTGTGAAAAATCGACATTTTATTTCTTAATCTCACCTTTTCACTAAAATACTAAGCTATTTAGAAGAACACTGTGATAACCGGTCGAGTGGTTTAATCTAAAGAATGGGTCCATGATAGATGGTAGATCTACAAGGAGATCAATGAGGTCTTCGACAGGTTCTTGTTGTTGATGAAATGCTGACGGATGTTGACGTAATAAGGTAAGTGGCAATAGAGTTTACAGTAACTGAATTTAGAAAGAGCCCTCACCATAAAAGTGCGATGCCTTAATTTCTATTTTTAGCTGGTTAGTTATATTTTGTTTTTATATGTAAACGATAATCTATATTTGCGTTCTGAAAAGACGGTGTTCTCATTAATCCAAGTTTTGCCTACCGCTCAATAAATTATTTTAATTATAATAATTATATAAAGGCCACACTACCATAATAACGGACAAATCTTGAAAGTTTTGTCACAATAATAAAAATGTTTGACTGTAGGATCATCAACATTAAGATATTACCTATGCAGTTCCTAGGTCCTGCAGAGAACGGAATGTAGGCATAAGGAGGCCTTTTGGCAATTTCTTCTGGTAGAAATCTGTCTGGATCAAACTTATCAGGATTCGGCCAATATTTGCTATTTCGATGAACACCAAGAATGTATATTGATATATTGGTTCCTTTTGGAAAGGTTTTGTCTCCTAAAAAAAGATATTTATACTGGAGCACCAATTTGGATACATGTTGTTAATTCAGAGTGGAACTATGATTAATATTTTATTTTATTTGTAAGAATTTTTAAAAACAAAAGTGTATAAGTGCTACAGACAAGAATAATACAGGACATTTACGATAATATCCGGCCAATAACTTGAAGAAAATGACCAATTCATGGCCATTTTCCCTTCAATGTCCCACTTAGCCCCTTCTACTGAACAATGACTTTGACATTGAATTTTAAAATTAAAACATTCAAAACGGCGTCATAGTTGACTTGGAAATGACGATCGCTGTTATAACAGTATAAGGATCATCGTCAATAAAAGTGACCAAATCAATTTGACTGCTTTTTTTACGTTCATACGATATTTACCTATTCTTATATCTTTAGAGATATATCGGCTTACTTCGGTCACACTTGGTAATAATCTCATGCATTCAAAAATAACTCGTTCAGTATATTTCAATTTGGTTAAATGGTCTACCTCAATAGGTTCATCGCGACCAATATTAGTTACTATTTCTTCAAATACTTTCTCCTATAAATTAAATTATAATATAGAGGGTAAGTCTTAAATGAAAATATTTTTAGGGGGAGTATATTCGACCCCAAAAACACAATTATGAGTTTTTTTCTCGAAAAAAATTTTTGAAAATGTTTTTGGAATTTTTTTTTAGTTTTTAGTTATTTGTTAATAATATAGAAACATAGGTAGTAGATTAAATTTACAAGAAAGAAAATCCAAAAAAGATCATTTTTTTCAAAAGATCATTTCAAAATTTCTCACGGAAGTTAAATAAATAAAGGCCGATATTACACTGGTGGATATACGAAACAAGTCACTATAAATTGTGTTATATTTTTTGATACCATATCCTTTGATTCGCATAATGGATTTTTAAAATTTTTACTGACAAATAGCCCCACTAATAGACTACACAGTGGCGTACCAAAGTTTAATTTTTCTGTTAATATTCATTCGCCTCGGTTGATTATACGAAAACGGAAAGATGTAGAAACAAAATATTTTATGGATATACGGGGAGGCAATATGCACAATTTAAAATTATTTTGAAATATACAGGGTGTTTCAGAACTAAGATCCATACCAAAGTTATATTTTTTCTTATGGAACACCCGGTAATTTCTTTCATTTTTGGATACTTAGACCCAAAAAAAGTCATCTATTATAAGAGTTAAATATGTTTCAATTTTTTGGTTTTTGAGATATTTAAAGATATTTAAATTTGCATGCTACTATAGAATTGATTATTAACACCCTATACATTTTTAGAATTTTAGAATTTAGAATGAGTGGGAGGGGGGTTAATCACTTCGACCTTACAGATCCATTGTGTCCCCCTTTCTTGAATCATAACTCATCATACAGTCCCAGGGCTTTGACAAAAGCCAGTATCTGGGACGGTTTTATAGAGGGTAGTTCTCCATCTCCAATATCAGTCGTACCAAAATTCATGGCACGAATGGTTGTCGTCTGGGCGCACTCAGTGATGAGGTGTACTGGTGTTTCCCCATCTTCCCCCACAGAATCTGCATTCGCCGTTTCTTCTTAGTTTCAATCTACTGAGGTGTTCATTGAGGAGACAGTGTCCTGTTAAAACCCCGTGACAATCCGAAGATTGTTCTTACTCAGACCTAGGAAGATCTGTGATTTTTATTGATCATAAGCCCTCAGAAACTTCTTCGAGTGTCCTAGACCATTGCAAGATTTCCATTCCAGGTTGCGGATGGAATCTTCCAAGTTCTTGAGTTCCTCCTTGAGTTGGTTACCACTTGGAAAGCAGAACGGTTCTGGTCCAGTTAGTGGAGTGTTCGCTCCTTTTCTACCTAGATTATTTGCTTTTTCATTGCCTTTTATCCCTTGGTGAGCAGGCACCCAGTGTAGGAGGACTTTGTTTTCTTTGCCTAATTTATTCAGCTTCTCTATGTATTCTTTGACCAATTTCGAATTGATTGAGACTGAGTTGATCGCCTTTAACGCTGCTTGACTATCAGATAAGATGGCTATTTCTTGTTTCCGATAGTTCCTATCTAAGATAAGTTGTACGCATCTCTCGATAGCGTAGATTTCTGCCTGTAGGATACTAGGGTAAGTGCCCATTGGTTCGGAGTAATTAGCTCTCGGCCCAAACACTCCGATCCCTGTTCCCGTATTGGTTTTGGAAGCATCAGTATACCAAGTTATGGTATGGTCTTTTAACTGCTGGGCAAGCGTTTCGCTCTTCCAATCCTTCTTATTGCTCAATACTACATTGACATGTACCCTATACATTACTTTTCAGAATTAATTCTTGTGCTGAGTTTAAAGGTAAATAAATAAACTTTACTGAAAAATGGCATTACTTCCTTAAATTTATACAGGGGTGTCAAAAATTTCTGATCTAGTTTAAGGATTTATTTTATATAAAAACTTCGTTATTTCAAATGCAACACTCTTTTTAAAATAAACCGAAGCAGATTCAAATGCTCTTTTAAACTATATTAGGGTTTTCTATACCTATCTAGCTCAGATTTTGAATAAAAAGCGATTTTTAATTAAAATCGCAACCAAGATGGCTGCTGTCGCCATGGCAATTTTCTAGTGACAGTTATCAACTATTTTCAAAGTCGACATTAGTTTATGGACATTATTACATATTTATAATTTATAACAGTTTGCTTAGATTTACCTACAATCTACAATAGTTTAATAAATAAGTATTCATTATTTTATCAAGAGAAATAAAGCAGCATCTGCTGGCGGAACGAATGGATATGTTTCTAGTGATTTTATTTTCTGAAGAAAATTGCTTCTTGGCCTCAAGAACTTATGCTCAAAGCTCAAAGGTATCGAAAAATAGAATTCTTCCTAATAAGCGTTCCTCTGAAAATTACTTACCCTATTTCGCAGAGCTGGTAGTGTGGTTTATAAAAAACCTGTTAGGCAGAAACCTGTCGTTGGAAGTGAAGAAAATGAATTTGCCGTAATTGTCTCTTTTCTAGAAAATCCATACAAGTCATCGTAAAATAAATCAAAGAACTACTTCTTCGGTTTTCTTGATAGAATAATAAATACATATTTAATAAATATTATTTATTAAACTATTGTAGGTAAATTAAATAAAAGTAAACTGGTATAAGTTTAAATAAGTCCATACACTAATTTCGATTTTGAAAATAGCTACTAACTGTCAATAAAAAAACTGCCATGACGACACTAGCCCTCTTGGTTGCCATTTTATTGAAAAATTGTTCTTTATTCAAAATCTGAGCTAGATAGGTATAGGAAACCCTAATATAGTTTGAAAGAGTATTTGAGTCTGCTTCAATTTATCATAGAAAATACATGGTGTTGTATTTGAAATAACGACGTTTTTATGTAAAATATATCCTTAAATTAAATCAGCAATTTTTGATACCCCTGTATAAATTTAAGGAAGCAATAGCATTTTCCAGTAAAGTTTATATCTTTACTTTTAAACTCAGCACAAGAATTAATTCTGAAAAGTAATGTATAGGGTGTTAAAAAATTGAAATATCTCAAAAACCAAAGATTTTAAACATATTTAACCCTTATAATAAATGCCTTTTTTGTGCCCAAGAATCCAAAAATGAAATAAAATACCGGGTGTTCCATAAGAAAAAATATAACTTTGGTATGGATCTTAGTTCTGAAACACTCTGTATATTTCAAAATAATTTTAAATTGTGCACATTGCTTCCCCTAAATAAAATATTTTGTTTCTGCATCTTTCCGTTTTCATACAATCAACCGAGACGAATGAGGTGCGCCACCCTGTATACATGATAAAATAAGGAGTAATTTTGTCTAACTAGAAGTTACCCTGCGGGTGACACCGGTTTTTTCGGGTACATCTAAGCAATTATACATATAAGATGGTATAGATTTATCTTTTTTTTACATTTTCCTTTTTTTGTCATTTTATTTTTAGCACTTTTAAAGTTCTACCACTTTTTCCAGATTATTACTTTTTATGTATACCACGCGCATACAAATATACGAGGTAGATGCTTACTGGGGTAAAACCAGTTATTGATGACAACACCGTATGACAGAATACTGTTTAATAGTTATTTTATATTTAATTCATTTAATTCTGATTTAATGCCAAGGCAAAGATTAACTAAAGACCCAATACCCTTCCAAGATCAACTGAATTAGGCAGTATATTCATAATTTAATTTTGGTTTAATAATAATAATTTAATAGATATAAAAATTTATAATTGTGCTTGGAAACTCACCTGGATTTCTGGATACATACCCAGTAACGTAAATATAAATACTAATGAATTTCCAGTCGTGTCGGTAGCCTAAAATGTTATTCCAATTAATATAAAGAGTTGCTGCGCACAATGTATTTTAAAAGTTTTATAATAAAGCATATTTTTGTATTATTATTGTTGTATAAATGGTTTGACTAATAGGTTTTGTGTTATAATTTAAACAATGTGGTTATATATGTATAGCAATATATTTTAATATTACCGCTGATGCAAATAATATAAACTCCGTTTCTATTATTTTCCGAGGAAAGATGTCTTTTCTGTTCAACATGGCGTCCACAAATGATAACTGAGAATCTACAACTAACAAAATAACTGATTAAATTTCAAACATCAAACACTTACTAAATTTAATTGAATGAAAGAGGAAAATTTGCTTCACTATAGACTATATAGTCTAGACAGTAATATCATACATTTACAACTTTGAGAAACACCTCACTGTAGTATTAAGTAATAAAAAGGATTGGGAAGAAAGAAACGCTTACTCAGCATATAAAAGACCATATACTCCGAATCAATGGGCACCCACCCCAGTATCCTTCAGGCAGAAATTTGCGCTATCGAAAGATGCGTACAATTTATCTTAGATAGGAACTATCGAAAACAGGAAATTGCCATCCTGTCCGATAGTCAAGCAGCACTTAACGCGATCAACTCAGTAACCATCAATTCGAAGTTGGTCAAAGGATGCCTAGAGAAGCAAATTAGGCAAAGAAAATGCCTAGAGAAACAAATTAGGCAAAGAAAATAAAGTCCTCCTACTCTGGGTGCCTGCTCACCAAGGGATAGAAGGCAATGAAAAAACAAATGATCTAGCTAGAAAAGGAGTGAACACTCCACTAACTGGACCAGAACCGTTCTGTTTTCCAAACAGGAACCAACTGAAAGCGGAACTGAAGAATCTAGAAGACTCCATCCGTAACTTGGAATGGGTGTCCTCCAACGGTCTAAGACACTCGAAAAAGTTCCTCAGAACTTATGACCGAGAAAAATCAAAGGTTTTCCTTGATTTAAGAAAAACAATCTTCGGATTGTCACGGGGTTTCTAACAGGACACTGTCTCCTCAACGAACACCTCAGTAGGCTGAAACTGAGAAACAACGGCGAATGCAGATTTTGTGGGGAAAATAGGGAAACACCAGAACACCTTATCACTGAGTGCGCCGAGACGACGACCATTCGTGCCATGAACCTTAGTACGTCTGATGTCGAGGATGGAGAGCTGGCCTCTGTGGAGCCGTCTCAGATACTGGCTTTTGTTAAAGCCCTGAGACTGTATGATGAGTTATAACTCGTTATAACTCAAAAAAGGGGAACACACAATAGATCTATAAGGTCGCGGTGATTAACTCCCCTCCTAAACATTCTACATTCTACAATATCATACCTGGACATTTATCAAATTCTGCCATCCTGCATCGAACTTTCTAAAAAAATAAATATATGTAATCATAATAATTATTGTTTAAAGTTTTTTTAATAGGTACTTTACATCAGCTAAAAAATCTTCTAAATTTAAGTATAACCCAAAGTGCATGCCATCCATGACATAGAAAATCCTTGATTCTCATGAGAACGCCAAAACAACAACCCCGCACGAAATACTCACAGCCTAAGAAATGTTGAATCCTGAAATTTAAAAGAAAAAATAAATGTTTTGTATTGATGTCAAAAATGTATTCAGAAATTTATAATCTCTTTAAAATGTATGTTCATTATTTCTTTTGTTTACATGCAGTATTTCGAACATTGGACTTGTGCTCTCAAAGACTACATATTTATTAAAAAATTATCCACTTACACATCCATTTCCTCCAAAAGCTTGTTGTTTAAATCAGTTTGCAGGTGGTAATTCCTACCAACTATTGCTTCTGGAACATTTAGAAAAAACACTTATATAACTATCTTAAATATAAAATATTTCTCTTAAAAAATATATGTGTATTCCTTTAGCGTTTTAGTAGTTACTAGCGTGTACCAGCGACTTCGTTCGCGTCGAATTAATCATTTGTAATGGTGATGATGAAGCAAAGCAAGAATTTCCATTAACATACAAACTGGATAAAATTTTCTCACATTTATGTCATCATGAGAAAAAACGATATGGCAATATTATTATATAACTTGGTAATATTTGAGAGGTAGTTTCATCTCGTTGGAATTTGACTTTCGAAAAATCCGTTTGCCAAAAATAAGCTTTTTACGTCAAGCAGTCTAAGCAGAATCGTGGTTAAGAAATTACCCAACTTTTTGGAACACCCTGTATGATTTTTTAAAAAAATTCAAAATATGAAAAAAACCAAATAAAATATGCTTGTCCAAGCGTTTTCCCGAAAGACTAACCGTTTATTAAATAACAAATATTGTTATATTTGAGGGGCGTTTTCACCCTCTTGGAATTTGAGATTCGAGAAACCCCTCCTTATCGAACCTCTACACCCCACAGTCAATCCGTTTGCCAAAAATCAGCTTTAAACGTCAAGCAGTTTAAGCAGAATCGTGATTATTCAATGGTCATATTTTATGAAACACCCTGTATAAATTTATAAAAAATTTTAAAATATGTAAAACAACAAAATAAAATATACGTGTTTAAGAGTTTTTCCGAAAACTCATCGGTTTTAAATAAAAATATTTTAATATTTAAGGGATAGTTTCACCCCTTAGAATTCGAGTTTCAAAAATCCCTTCTTATCGGAAATCTACACCCTAAAGTCAATCTGTTTTCCAATAATCAGCTTTTACGTCAAGCGCTTTAAGGAGAATCGTAATTAATCAATGGCCAGATTTTTCGAAACACCCTGTATACATTTTTAAAAATCTTAAAATATTTAAAAAACAAAATAAAATATACGTGTTTAAGCGTTTTTCCGAAACTTGGCCGTTTTTTAAATAAAAAATATTGTAATATTAATGTTTGAGGGGTGGTTTCACCCTCTTGGAACTGGAATTTCGATAAATCCCTTCTTATCGAACCTCTACATCCTAGAATCAACCTGCATGCCAAAATTGAGCTTCTTACGTTGAGTGGTTTGAGCAGGATCGTGATTAATCAGTATGTCAGTCGCTTAAGGATTTTATATATTAGCACAATATTAGTATAGATTTACCAGTAAAAGTATCGAAAGTATAACGACCAAATACACTATAAAGGTCGTGGTTAAAATTCCTCAGCACTTTCACCAATACATTGCTGTTTTCGTTGAAATATTGAACAAAGGAATTGAGGATGGGCTGACTGAAACTCTTCGAAATAAACTTTCGGCGTCCTTTCCAAATATTGACTAAAAACAACAAATGGTTTATATAAAAAAAAACTAGATATCACTAGTAAAAACTAGATTTTTTATCTATGAAAACAAAGTCGTAAAGATTCTGCCAATACATCTTGTTATTATGTCTGTTCAATAGGAGGATCCCTAACAGTGTCATTTTTTGGATATGATCTGTCGAAATCCTTCCCTGATTCGTTGGACAGGCTATACCGGCTGTTTTTCAAAAATGGCTCATCCCCTCGCTCATCCTTATAACTTTTTTATTTTTGCAGAAAAAAAACGAAATTTGGTTTGTTATGGCAATGACTATGAAATGAAGATCATTGCTGGACTATCAGATAAGATGGCTATTTCTTGTTTCCAATAGTGCCTCTCTAAGATTTATCTGAAGGCTGCTGGGTTTGGGGGATAACGAAAGAATACATGACAATACAGTTGTGTCTGTCATTTTAATACAGGGGTCTGGAGATGTAGAGCCTGTCAAAATTATCCCTGGCTCATTGAACAGACTTACTAAACTAAAAAAATAACATTTATATTATCACTTTTACCAGGTTGAAAGAGAAGACTGTTCTTAAACACCATTCTCATTCCATCGTACAAAAATGACTTATGCAAACTGTCTGGGTGATTTAGGAACACTCGAATTTCTTCTGCATCGTCAGTAAAATACAGATTATTATGTCCGAGCCACACGTTGCACGGCAATCCTAATTTTTCAGCCGATCCAGTCTGTAGTCTATATGTATCTAAAATATCTAAAAATTACAATTTTTTTTTAATTTTTAACAAAACTTACGTAGGGTCCGGCAATAGTGAGTAATAGAATAAAAAACTTAGAAATTTTGTTTAAGTGCATACCTAAAGTATGCACGAGGATGTTTTTCAGGAAAATATTTTGACTTCTATAGGTGGCTCAAAAAATTATGAATGGACCGGGATGATTTTTTTTTAAATGGAACACCCTGTATATTATTGCATTTTTGGCTTCCTTTCAGATCACTTTACATGATCCTAAGATATGAGTAAATATATTTCGATAATTTCAGAGATATTAAGAGATAAATAAGGCCTGGATACCCAAGACCTGAAAATTATCCAAAAGCTATACGAACAACAAGTAGCGACAGTAAAACTTCAGGACACTGAAACGACAGCAATACCTATCAAGCGTGGAGTTAGGCAAAGATGCGTATTGAGCCCTATGCTCTTCAATATGTACTCCGAATTAATATTTCGAAATGCGCTTGAGGGATCAGAAGACGGCATAAAAGTGAATGGTAGGCTGATTAACACCATGAGATATGCTGATGATACCGTCGTTATTGCAGACACCACTGAGGGCCTGCAAAGACTTCTTGATAGACTGTCCTCGGTGGGCGACTCAATGGGTCTCAGGATAAATACAAACAAAACAAAAGACATGGTGATAAATAGAGATGCAAGACATGCAACGGAGGTAGTCGTAGGTGGGACACCAATAGCAAGAGTCTCAAAGTTTAGATATTTGGGCAGTTGGATTAGTGAAGACCTAAACCCAGACATTGAGATCAGAGCTCGAATTGAGATGGCTAGATCAAACTTCTTAAAATTACGGAACCTACTGTGCGATAAACGTCTCAACATCCATATAAAAGACAACTTCGTCAAGTGCAACGTACTTTCCACACTTCTCTACGGGGTTGAGTCGTGGACACTCAAAGTAAGCGCAATGAATAAGTTGGAAGCATTTGAGATGTGGGTATATCGCAGAATGCTGAGAATACCATGGACTGACCGTGTCTCGAATGAACGAGTTCTAAACCAAATGAACAAGGACCGAGAACTCCTCGACATAATAAAAAAGAGGAAAGCAGCCTATTTGGGAAATATCATGAGACATAGCAAGTATGAATTCCTTCAGCTCATCATCGAGGGTAAAATTGAGGGAAAGCGCGGACCCGGACGACGGCAGTGCTCCTGGCTGAAGAACATCAGAGATTGGACAGGCTTGGACTCACATACTTTGCTGAGAAGAGCGAAAAATAGAGAGGAATTTGCCATGGTTGTTGCCGATCTTCACCGAATGGAGAAGGCACTTTAAGAAGAAGATATTTTTCAACCTTAAGTATTACTTTAGATGGTCGATACTTACTTTGTGCTATAAATATCGCAATTCACAATCTCAAATGTGTTCGCAATCTTAAATCATACAGGGTGTTCAAAATTCTACGCCAACCATTCTAAAATATAAAATATTTTTTCTTTGTTTTTTTTAATGGAACACCCTGTATATTATTTTTTTTATAAGATGCAGAGTTCAGAAATGAACATGTTTTGTATTTAAAGAATTTCAAAATTTTTAATGGCTTCGCAGATACACGCAGTATTATTTCATATAGCTCTTTTAACGGTAAAATGCGTGACAAAAATCATTGGGTGGCTTTGATCAAAATTTACTGTGGAAAATGCTGCAAATATCTGCGAAACAATTAAAAATATTGAAATACTCTAAATACAAAAATTCTTAATTTTTTAATTCTCTATCTATTAAAAAAATAATATACAAGGTGTCCCATTTAAAAAAAAATCAAAGAAAAATTATTTTATATTTTAGAAAGTTTGGCGTTGAATTTTGAACATCCTGTATGATTTACGACTACCATATTTACAGTAAAGTGAGTACAGAATACAGACGATCTAAAGTAAATACCTAATATAATTTTGATTTCAGGACAGTTCTTGTATTTTTATTAATGTTGTTAAGAATGCCTAAAAATATATATTTTTTATTTATTTATTATCGAAATATTTTCACTCGTATCTTAGGATTATGTAATGTGATCTGAAAGGAAGCCAAAAACGCAATAATATACAGAGTGTTCCATTTAGAAAAATCATCCCGATCCGCTAACACATTTTTGAGCCACCCTTTAAAAGTTATATAAATATTTTCCTGAAATACATCCTAGTACCACAAAAGATTTGCACTTAACAAAATTCCCAAGTTTTTTTTTTATTTTAGAAGCTACAGATGCCGGGCGCACTATTGCCGTACCCTGTATATCACCCTGTATAATTAAGGAAACAAATGATTATGAATAATAAAATAAATTAAATATTACCTACCTTTATTTTTAAAGTCCAAATAGTTTCCCAATATCGGATAAAATTTGAAGCGTTTATAATTTTTGAAAAACTCGAAAATACGTCTTTTCCTGTACAGAGACAATGCAGTACGTAGAATTATAGCTAAAATTGCTAATATACCTGCTCTTAGTGCAATTTTTAACCATACCATAGTAAAGAAATATAAAATAACAATAAATATATTGATATTTTAGCTCCCCTACTTGATGGTAATTTTAATTGTGGTATTAATGTTTAAATAATTCAAAACATTCATTATTTTAACAACAATGTAATAATTATATGGTAAATCTAAATAAACATAAAATTGAAAAAAAAAAGAATAATACGAATAATTTGATTTACAATGCCATGAAATTATATTAAAAAAATCGGATATCCAGGTTATAATGATAATGATTTAAGCTCAAATATGCTCATTATTATTAATATGTATTAGAATTGAAAAAAAAACAGTGTCACAGTGGTCTTTAAAATAGGAATCAGTGACAATTTTTGGGGGTATAATTTCCTACAGTTCATACCAAATAAACTTTTAGTCACGTGATTAAGCTTAATTGGCACAGCGTTGCCCACTTTTATATATTTTCTTTTAATCAAAATATTTTAGGAAACAAAAATAAATTAATTATAATTATATAAACAGTTATTATTTACATCAACAAAACTCACCTTCTTAAGGGACATGAAGGATCATTACTACCGCTTTCCTGTTAAAAATATTCTAATAAAGTTGCGATGAGTTTTTTACGGCTATTAAGCTATCTTGTATAATTTGCAATGAAAGAGGTTCTAAAAAAACAATGTCCGACTCCAAATAAATATGTTCAAGCTTAAAGTATGACAACAGTATTTATTTAAACCTAAAACTCGTAAATACAAAACTAAAGTGTCAAAACGAATGACAGTCAGGAAATAAATAAATAAATGCGGCAACTTGATATTTTTTACAGCACAAACCACCTACACAGTACACCTAGATTAGATTAGATTCTTAGAGGTGGCTTTCGGCCTGATCCACTGCGACCTTCTCAGATCTATTCTTGTCCTCTTCTGATCCTTAGATTACATTCTCCAGTCCTATCCTTTTCACAAAGTTTAGCAACTTGGAGACTGAACCCTCCATGTAGCTCCTTGGCAATGGCCTATCATTGCCTATTACCGGGAACCGCACATTTGCAAGGCTGTTCTGACATAAAATGAGTTCTGACGTTTCTTCTTCAGATTGGCAGAACCTACACATAGCTTCGTCTGTCAATCCCATCAGCTTTAGATGCCTATTTAGCTTACAATGCCCTGTTAGTAGACCTACTACAGCTTTGACTGTATTTCTGTCTTTGCTTATCAAGTCTACCTTGAATTTTGGCGAATGTTCTACAATGAACCTTTTCGCCTGTCTCTGCCCTGGTGAGTTTCTCCACCATTCTAGAGATTCGTTAGCCACCCATCGTTCCGTGGCTATTCTCGTGACCGCCTTTGCAACGCCGCAGAAGGGTTCTGGGCCTACGAATGGCATTGATGAGCCTTGCTTGGCCCTATCATCTGCCTTTTCGTTACCCTTGTGACCTTCGTGCCCTGGCACCCAGGCCAACGTAACAGTGCTACGTTCGCCCAAAGTATTCAGAGCACGCACACAGTCCCATACTAGTCTAGAATTGACCTCCGCGGAGCCGAGTGCCTTTAGCGCCGCTTGGCTGTCTGTGAAGATGGCCACAGAACGATTTGTTCTTTGTTGCCTTATTATTTCTTCTACACAATAGTGGATTGCCGTTATTTCTGCCTGGAAAATTGTGACATCCTTGGATAGGCTTACGTGGAAGGATCTCCCTTGTTTCGGCCCTACTATCCCAGCTCCCCTTCCTGGTATGGTTCCCTTCCAGGTATGGTTATATTAAATTTGTTGTTGAAGCTATACCTAGTAGCTGTTGCATCAATTGGTAATCCCAATACTTTGTCTGCTTTTAGCTCTTCGATTAGCTTCTGGTTAGCAGCACTATGCGTTTGGCTTATGTGCTGCTGACCGTGAATTAACCTGTGCATGACAGATCTGGCTTCGCCTTGTATGAAAATATGTAGTGGTGGTAAGTTCAACAAGACTTCCATCGCATTTGTAGGAGTGGTTTTTATGGCCCCAGTTACACACAGGCACGCAAGCCTTTATGTGGAACTTAACAGCCTTACCGCACCCACTTGCGATGTCTTTGTCCACCACGCCACCGACCCGTAGGTTATCATGGGTCTTACTACCCTTGTGTATAGCCATAGAGTCATTTTATGGTTAAGTCCCCAGTTTTTTCCACACATCCTTCTGCACCTACCTAAAGAGATGGCAGCCTTCTGTGTTGCCTTCGCTATGTGAGTATTCCATGTAAGCCTTTGATCAAAAAATATCCCAAGATACTTTGTTTCTTTGGCAAATGAAATCTCCGTTTCTCCTAGCACTGGTGGTTTTAGGCCTTTTGGTGCTATCTTTTTTGTAAAATTGACAATTTGTGTTTTCTGAGCATTGACTATCAGTCTCTCTTGTTTGCACCACTTGTCAACTTTGTTTAGGGCTGTCTGCACAGTACACCTAATCTACCACTTGAATCGCGAGCGCAAAATTTAAATTCCAGTTAGTCAGCACGAGGTGCGACGCCGAATATGTCCATTGTTATTGAATGTTTTGAATTTAAAGAAATATGTTTATTTTTAAATAGACGTGAGTAATAAACTCGAAGATATTTAAACTCAACTTGAGTTTAAATATTTTTGAATAAACTATACATACTCTTATGTTTAATATTATTCCATCTCTGTCCATTTTTTATTTGCTCTCGCTTTTTTTGCTCTCCTAGTATTTAACTATAAAATCTGGCAACCCTAAACTCTATAGATGAAAACAATTTTATAGTATGTCAAAAATATTGACGATATCACAAAACTATATTTATTTATCTTTCTATCACTTTATTGATTACAGAGTAACAATAATAACATTAATGTTAAAATGTCTTTATTTATTTTCTGGGTGAGAAATGGCAGTCAATATCGTCTTTTGTCCTCATTGTCATTAAGCCTCTCATCTCCATCTCATCAACTGAGCGATATTTGGATGATATCAGAAAATTTCTAGTCACATTGGCCACCACCACTTTCATAGACATCATTGCGTATAGTTTGCCTATAAAAGATTACATTATTATGAAAAGGAATAGACTGGTTTTTAATAGGACTGACTGGAACGAAAAATGGGCATCAGAATATGTTCATGTATTGAAAATACATCAGTTCAATATATTTTGTTCTAGTAGACCGATTTTGATGATTTTTATCAGATGATGATGATGGCTATGATAGTCACCTATACAATTCCTTGGCCCCCCTGAAAAAGGTATGTAGCAAGATGGTGGTCTTTTAGCAATTTCTTCTGGTAGAAACCTGTCTGGATCAAACTTCTTTGGATTCGGCCAATATTTGCTGTTACGGTGAAGAGCAAGGGTATAGACTATTACATTGGCTCCTTTAGGAAATGTTTTGTCTCCTAAAAATATACGAAGTGATCAATAATAATGGAACTCTCTATCTAATATAGAACTCCCGTTACCTTATTAATAAACATTTTTACTAAAATAACGAACATTTTTTAATTTAGTATTAAAATATTCAAAATATGCTTTGGAGGTCCTTCTACAATAGCTTTTAATTTTTCTGAATACACGATATTAATTGCAAAATTATTTATATTTTACAGTCGCACACAGAATCAGTCATCGCGACGCGCTACTATATTTTTTATTTTATACCACGAACGAGATGTGTTTAAAAATTCGCATCACTCGTCGACTAAAACAGCGAACGGGAGACGTAATCGCGGCCGGGAAATTCGCTGACCCCAGCTTTGGTTCGGCGGCGGGCGTTCAAGATGCAACGAGGACAGTCACATCGTCTGCCAAATATTTTTATTTTTAGCGTCTTAGCGTTATCTATAAAGCTCGAACAATACACATATTAAATAATTCAAATTGAATTTAATTACTTGTATAAATTAACTAAGAATTTTAATTTATGTAACTTTTTTAAATAAAAACGTATTACAATATTTTAAAAAGATGCGACGCATCGTCCGCATCAATGAAAGCTTCACCGCTGCTGCTTACCAATTTGAATGTCCTTATTAAGATATCTGGCCACGATAGGCACAGGCGGAAGCAACCTCATACTTTCGGATATAACTCTCTCAGTATATTTCAATTTTGGTAAATGATCTGTTTCGATAGGTGCATCACGGCCAATCTCCGTTATTACCTCTTCGTATACTTTTTGCTTTAATAAAAAATTATAATCAAAATGAAATACCTACCACAAACATCCTGTTACTTTTTTAAACTTACCTGAATTTCTGGATGCATTCCCAATAATGTAAAAATAAAAGTCAATGCGTTTCCGGTAGTGTCTGTGGCCTAAAATTGTATTTACTCAGTATTATCATTATTTTTCATTAAGGAAAAGCTTTGTGAAATATAGTCCACCAGAACCAACGGCGAATGCAGCTTCTGTGGGGAAAATGGGAAAACACCAGAAAACCTTCTCACTGAGTGCGCCGAGACGATGACCATTCGTGCCATGAACTTTGGTACGGCTGATGTCGAGGATGGAGAGCTCTGTGGAGCCGTCTCAGATACTAGCTTTTGTTAAAGCCCTGAGACCGGAAAAGCCTTGACGGAATGAGACTTAAGTTTGATACTTAAGTTTGATACTTTTCATACATCCGTTGTCTGACGATACGATGATACGATATTAATTTTATTGGTTGAATTTAAAGACTTCGACTGATTAGAAAATTACGTAGTTTTTAAATTTATCGCATTTTCATGCCTCCGTTCATTGGATATACGATTTTCTTGTGATTGGTGTCTTTTTATATTTTCATTTCCATGACGATTTCGTTGTTTTACTTATAATCTATGAGCTAGCAACGTTTTCGAGAGATAATTTTAAGAAAGCTGGTTCTTTAATATATCTTTTGCTAGGCTCTTCTGAACAGAGTGCGGACCGTCTGCTGGTAGACGTTCTGTTCACTACTGCGCATCCCCCCCATATTTGTATTCAACATCTGTTCACTACTACGCATCACAAATTCGCCCTATATTTTAGGAACTAAGGAGGCTAGGACAAACCTATATGAAGCATATTTAGTTTCATAAAAAAGTAACATAGTAATATAAAAATCGCATCATTGTATCTCTACGACAAATCCCATAAAACACATGAAAATGGGATACTCGGTACAGATGTGATGCGCAGTAGTCTACCGGCAGCCAGACGGCCCGCACTTTGGTCAGGAGAGCATAGCAAAAGATTTATTACAGAACCAACTTTCTTAAATTTCTCGTTTTTCCCGACGGTGCTAGCTCCTATACTTTATACTATTATACTTTTTTTTAAGATTAGATTAGATTTATCAAAAAAGTGTCAAAATGTCCGTTATCGTACGATCTTTCTCCGTTGAAGGGCTGGAGTAAAAAAATTACGGATGAAAAGTGGCGGGAAAACGCTATGACCAATCAGAGCGCCGCCGAACCATCGTATACCTATCAACGGATAACGCACGCATGAAAATCAAGCTTTAGGCAGTACGAAAACAGAACTGAGACGTGACAAACATTTGTGAATATAATTTAAGGATATTATTTAAAATTCTTTTTTAATGTTCATAATGACACTCAACGGTATTTTTAATGGAAAATCAACGGATGTATGAAAATCAAACTTAAGTCTCATTCCGTCAATCTGCGACGTCTATTCATTCATGTGTGGGTTTACTCGCTCCATCATGCGTCGTCTGTCGTTGATTTTAAGCAATTTTATTGGTTTATTACAAAAATAACAACTCATGTAGAATGTAGAATGTTTAGGAGGGGAGCTAATCACCGCGATCTTATAGATCTATTGGTTGTGCCCCTTTCTTCAGTTATAACGAGTTATAACTCATCATACGGTCTCAGGGCTTTAACAAAAGCTAGTATCTGAGACGGCTCCACAGAGACCAGCTCTCCATCCTCGACATCAGCCGTACCAAAGTTCATGGCACGAATGGTCGTCGTCTCGGCGCACTCAGTGATAAGGTTTTCTGGTGTTTTCCCATTTTCCCCACAGAAGCTGCATTCGCCGTTGTTTCTCAGCTTCAGCCTACTGAGGTGTTCGTTGAGGAGACATGTCCTGTCAAAAACCCGTGACAATCCGAAGATTGTTTTTACTTAAATCAAGGAGAACCTTTGATTTTTCTCGGTCGTAAGTTCTGAAGAACTTTTTCGAGTGTCTTAGACCGTTGGAGGACACCCATTCCAAGTTACGGATGGAGTCTTCCAGATTCTTCAGTTCCGCTTTCAGTTGGTTCCCGTTTGGAAAACAGAACGGTTCTGGTTCAGTTAGTGGAGTGTTCGCTCCTTTCCAAGCTAGATCATTTGCTTTTTCATTGCCTTCTATCTTTTGATAAGCAGGCACCCAGAGTAGGAGGACTTTATTTTCTTTGCCTAACAGGCCTCTACAGGCCGAAATGTTTTAGTGGACGCCGGCGCCGTCTATATGTACGACGGTCGCAGTCGCCTTTGCTGGTCGGTCCGATCCGATGCAGTGCGCGCGGAGCTTTAAAGGAGGGCGGAGATCCGACTGCATCGGATCGGACCGACCAGCAAAGGCGACTGCGACGATCGTACATATAGACGGCGCCGGCGTCCACTAAAACATTTCGGCTTGTAGAGGCCAGATTCCTACCTCTACCTATCTACGATAGTCGAGTCACCGCCTTCGCCGGACTGGTACCGATTCAGTGCGCGTACACCTTAATACGTCGTCCGTCGTTCCATCTCCGTCACTCTAATAATATCAAAATATGAGCGCTCTCATTTTATTGGTTTATTTCAAGAAATGACAGCTCACACTTGAATATTATTGGAGTGACGCAACAACGGACGACGCATAACGGATGCATATAAACTCAGCTTTACGGACAAAATCAAATTACCTGTGACTGACGAAATGGAAACGAGACGTGACTGACAGGTATGAATAGACAATAATAATACGAGGTACGAGTAGAGTTTTACTTACGGCTAATAAAAAAACCATTAATTCTTTGGACATAATGCTTGGATGAAAAAGATCACCTCGGCTTATCATTGCATCCAGAAAAGATAACTGGGAACCTACAACTAAAAAAACTCGTTCACTCTTTGCCCTCCTGAATGGAAATGCGAAAAATTTGTATTTTTGTAAATCGGGAAAATTCGGTTTTTTACAAATAATATCTTCGGAAGTGATCGGATTTTTTACATTTCCTAACATGCAAATAGTAGAGTAGTAAAATATCTTGTCTGGTTTACGATATTCCTGTAGTGTGCATTGATATCGGGTATTTCACAAAAACAGCTCACCCCTATAACTTTTTCTTCTTTTTTAAATAAAAATACGAAATTTGGTATGTTAGTACATTACATAAATTAGCATTGATTGGCGTATTCAATTTATTACGGCTTTCGGTCACTTCCTGTTTCCCAGGGAAATATTCTAGCGATTTTTTAAATTGCACCCCCATATTTTTCTACTTCATTTGATAGTAAATGACATTCTGAATAGAATGACATATAATGTGCCAACTTTTGACATTGTCAATTAAAAAATATAGCAATTTATTTTATTTATTTTTAGAATGTCATGCCCATAAATGTAACAATTCGATTCGAAATACCAAGACTGTGGTACCATATTATTCGTAAAAATGCCTTTTCTAAATATATACTAATGAGCCACTCTTGATCCATCTGAAAAAATTGAGATATGATTAAAAATGCGATTTGGGCATCTTTTAACCGCCCAGAACAAGGTACGAAAAACATTAGACTATCAAATCCAAAGATATTTAAACTCGAGTTTAAATATCTTTGATCAAATCTATTTTTTCAAGGCTCCTTGATTTAAAATTAGTATTTTTACACAGCCATGGTACTCTAGATTGAAATTAAAAATACGATTTTTTTTTGAGCGAAAATCAAAAGTTTATATAATATATGATATGTCATTCCACTCATAGTGTCGTTTTCTATGGAATAAAGTGAAATTGCTGGTGAAACAGGAAGTGACCGAAAACAATTGAATACGTTAATCAATCCTGATTTATGTCATATTACTGACGTACCAAACCTCGTTTATTTATCTGGAAAAATAAAATAAAAAAGTTATATATATATAGGTGTGATGAGCCACTTTTGAGAAACACCCGGTATATGCGACACGATCTATAAAGTAAGTACCTGGCTCCTTCTGTAGTTCCTCTCTTCTAAAGTCGATCATCTAAAACGCATGTTTAGTTAATTGTTTCAATTATATTATTATATTTAATACATACACTGAAACTAAGTTTTCTTAATTTATTAAACAGTGATATCGTACTCCAACCATTAGTTACAAGACCCTTCAGATCCAGTGGAAAACCAAACGTAACTGCCACCACACTACTCTCTCCGATATATTTCTGGACTCTAAAATTAAGTTTGTATTTTTCACATTCTCTTTATTACAACAGTCACTCTTTCTAATAGAATAATTATGAAACACATTAGTTTTATATCATTTTAGCAATAATTCTAAAATGTGATTGAAACAACGAAACAATTTGAAGAGAACGAAACGCAGAAAAAAATAGTAAAATAAAAACAACTTTACAATTTAAGTTTATTAACACTATTCTATAACCAACATACTAGGTGACATTGAAAATGTCATACTTACGCGTCCATCTCTTCTATCAGTCTATTGTTGGGATCAGTTTGTAAGTTGTAGCTCTTACCGACATATATGTCTAAAACAATATCGCTGTTTTGAGGAAATCGCTACAGACAATTTGCAAAATAAGGTTACAGTAAAAAGTGCAATTGCAAATAAAGTTGCAAGACAAAATCCGAGTTTTACTAAATTTGCAAATATTATCTATCAAGATCTAGCGGTAGTGAATTTGACACCATTCTAGAAGCCGACAACGTTTATGAGGGAAAACGTAATAATAAATCGTTATCTGTTAAATAGATACTTTTAGTATTAGGGTGTTAGTATCACATGTTTTTTAAAACCATCAATGTGGTTACATTATTTACGGGTAATATTTTTTTGTATCTCTCTATTGGACTGGACCAAGAAGGTTAAAATAAATAGAATATCTTAACCATCTAAGATTCGCTGATGACATAGTCCTAGTACCAATAGTCCTGAAGAACTACAAACCTGGAATTAATGAACTAAATGCAGCCAACCACCAATAAAATTGGGTCTCAAAATGGTGCTTAAAAACTAAAAGTATTGTACAACTTGAACGAACGATCTAGTGGAAAGAAAGAGACATTCTAATAAATAACACAACACTGGAAATGGTAGAAGGAATATATATATTTAGGACAACTAATACACAGCTCAGGATCTCTACTACAGAAATCAACAAAGAATTAAGTTAGCATCAGTGGCGGATACAGGGGAGGGGCCCATGAGGGCCCAGGCCCTAAGGTCTGTGGTGTGTAAAATATTAGGCTTTTGGGTTAAAAATGGCGCCCTAAAAACATATTCTACATTGCTTTTCATTTTGGCCCCAACACAAATAAATTCCTGTATCCCGCCCTATGGTTAGCATAGAGTACTTATGGAAGAAACTCAATCATATTCAAATCTAAAATGCCACTCTATCTGAAGAAAACATTCCGACCAATGTGTACTACCAGTCATGACCTATGTATGCGAACTGGATACTTGAAACGGAGATCATAAAAGGAAACTACAGGTCCCGCACAACATTTAATGGAACAGGAAATATGCTGGGAATAATAATCAAGAGAGAGAGTGGATAAGACAAAGACCCAAGGTTCTAGGCGGAATCCACAGAATCAACTCCCTCAAATGGCAATGGGCAGGACACCTGGCAAGAAGAACGGATAACAGATGGACTACAGAAATTACAGCATGGTACCCACGAGGAATTAAAAGACTTAAAAGAAGACCGAACCTGAGATGGGATCATAATATTAATAAATTAGCAGTGGTAACTTGGGCCCGCATAGCCAACAATAGACAAGAATGGGCCCAGCTACAAAGAGAGTGTGTAAGGGAGGCTACACCATAATTGGAAATGGTTGAATAAGCTGAAAATGATGATGATAATGACGACACATAATAAAAACTATTATGAATCAGTAATCAAACGTTATTTAAAAAATTACCAAGATCGCAAAAGAATTTAAATATCGCTCACTAAAATTCCTCTATATTTTTCAATTTTAAGTTTTGTTAATATTTACCGCAAAATGTGTCAAAGGTATAATGACCGAAGACGCTGAAAAGATCTTCGTAATCATTGTGTAGCACATCTACCAACACATTGCTATTACGATAAAAGTAATGCACATAAGAATTGAGGAGGGGCTGGTTAAAACTTTTCGAGAAAAACTTCCGTCGTACTTTCCAATCTTCAGCTAAAAGTAAAATTAGTGTTTTTAGAAGTACGAAAATATATACTATCTAACATTGAAAATGCAACACCTAGACTAACTTATCGTATTTTTGTAAAAAACTTATTCAATATATTATGTATATTCACGCAGATAAAATTTCTATTGTATTTCGAGCAACACTTTTTTTCTTAATGTTCATCATAATGTTCGGCTTTAACCCAATAAACATGTTCAAGATTTTAGTCACTTTTCGGTATTTGATGTGTTTGAATCTACAAATTTTCTGAGAACTTACGATCGGAAAAAGGCAAAAATTTTCCTTTATCAAGTAATCATCAAGTAATCATCTAGTGATATCAAGTAAGAACAATCTCGGATTGTCACAGGGTTTAACAGGACTATATGAACAGATTCTGTAAGGGAAAATAGGAAAACAATAAAATACCTCATCACTGAAGTACGCCAAGACGACAATACATTTTGTACCATGAAAACTTTTGGATTGCAACTGATATCGGATCTGGAGAACTAACCTCTGAAAACCGTCTCAGGTACTAGCGTTTGTCAAAGCCCTGAGAATGTATTTTCTTCTTAAGGTGCCGTGCAGATTCCTGCGTAGGCATCATCTTTTTCTTCATCATCAGATGATTCTATTTATTGCAGCAAATTGGAGTGCTTGAAAGTCCTGTATGCCTGTCCAATGATGAATATTTCTCAGCCAGGATAGCTTCCTTCGGCCTATTCCCCTTTTGCCCCCCTCGATTTTACCTTGGAGAATTAGACACTGAAAGTGATAGCGTTCTCCTGGTAGTGTGTGTTCCAAATAGGCTATTTTCCTCTTCTTGATGATTTCGAAGAGTTCACGTTCTTCTAGACCAGCTCTTCTGAGAATGTCTTCATTCCTCACACGGTCGACCCAGGACACTCTTAGCATTCGTCGTAGGGTCCACATTTCGAAGCAGGGCCTATTTTTCATCTGGTCGGGCCCTAAGGCTCAAGCAAAAATTCGGGCCCTCTTTTCCAATAAAATTCAAAAATTCAAGAAATTATGAATATTTTACAACCTTTAACGGGCCCCCCAGACCACCGGGCCCAAGGCCAGGGCCTTATAGGCCTTATGGTAAAATAGGCCCTGTTTCGAAGGCTTCAATTCTGTTTATTGTTGCTACATTCAATATCCATGCTTCCACAGCATATAACAAAACGACCAGACTGCTTCACCATTCTGTATCTAAGGCCGAAGTTCAAGTTCCTATCTGTGAGAAACCTTCAGTTTTTAGAAAGTTGTTCTTGTTTGCTCGATCCTGCATTTGATCTCTAGTCTGGATTCCACGTTTGGTTAACCAGCATGCATCCCAGAGTATTTAAATTGTGTGATGTGTGCTTGATAACCTCTCCATTTAAGTAAATTCTGGTGTTCGGAATGTTGTTTCTGCTGACAGCCATAAATTTAGTTTTATTAATGTTTAAACCCAATTTTCGGCTCTCATTGTTAACCTTATTTAGAAGGATTTGGAGATCATTTGCATTGTCTGCCAATATCACTGTGTCATCCGCATATCGGATATTATTAATTGGAACAGTCCCATTTATTTTCAAACCAATGAGACTGTCGGAATTGACTCAGTGAATGCTTTTTTCACATACAAGTTAAAAAACATTGGATACGTTATGTATACGAATTTCAGCTTTTTGGTTCCAACACAAATTACTGATCAGTCTTATATCTTTCCCATCAAGTCCCAATAAGTATCTGAGGTATGATTATAAGGAGATTATGTTTAACATTATCGAACGCCTTTTCATAGTCTATAAAGCACATGAAGACGTCTTTTCTCTGATCTTGACAAGTGGAACGTTTGCGAATAAATATCATCAAGCCCTGGAGTTTTGTCGTTTTAAGAATGTATGATGAGTAACTCAAGAAAGGGGGACACAATAGATCTGTAAGATAGCGGCGCGGCGGTTAATTCAACTCCAAGGCGAGATTAACCATCTTCTCCAATCGATGCCGCAACAATTTCGGCGAGTGTGTAGCAAACAAGTGTATCAACACATTATTAACCTTAAGGTAGAATATCTCAGTTTTTACGAAACATTTCGGGTTTAAAATCATTAACTACTTAGTAGTAGGCAAATATGTTATCAAACTATACCCGTAGAGATAATTATAGTATTACTCTCCAAAGGTGTTGCATATTCAATGTCACTTAGATATTACAATGTGTAAAGTTTGTTAATGCAAAGTGAGTTTGTTACAATTTGTATGTTTACAAGAAAATATTAAAATCCAAACTAACTACCTTTGTAAACTAGAGACAATCGTCAAATATTACTTTATTTTATATTATAGAAACTTGCTTTATCCAAACTATCTGGATGGTTAAATTATAACTTTTATAGCTTCGGCATCGTCTGTAACATGGATATAGCTATGTCCATACCAGAAATTGGTGGTAGTCCCAATTTCCCTGGCTAGTACGTACTACCATCGAAGAAATCTAAAAATACATTGCATGGAAATATGAGATCAGTGGCGGATCTAGGCGTGAGCAGGTGGGCAACCATAACCTCAGGCGCTAGGGGCGCCGCGCCTAGAGGCACCAAAATGTCCGGTAATCAATAGGTTAAAACTCTAATCACGCACGGCATGCACTCATAAGGTATGTTAGTAGTTTTCAACATCATACCTACAAGGTAAAATTTCGGCACAGGGGCGGCAAAATATAAAAATGTCCAGAAACCAGTAGGTAAACATCAGGTAATATTGTTTTGCCTTCCCTAGCCACACCACCCAATTCCTGCAACCACTCGATAGAAGTTTTTTAGAGTTTTAAGGCTTATTTTAATTCTGCATTACCTTGAATGTGAGGGGCAAACCCAACCAGAAAAATATCAGGGAGCTTAATTTTGGAGAATTACTGGCCGATGCTTGAAGTCTAAATCAGCCACTATAGAAAATGCTCTCTGCTTTTTAGAATCCCCAGACATTTGCCCGTTTAACCCTGGGGGCAATACCCTGAGTATGCTTATTTAAACGGCAACGAGAACGACCGCTGGAACAACACCAACATTGATAATCACATCGAGACTCCTAAGCATTTGGAAAATCCAGGACCATCATCACAGAGCTGGGACCAATGTCACTTCCTGATCAATAAATCAACCCATTGCTGCCAAAGATAGTTCTTCAGATGGCGATACACCTGATAAAGTTAATTAAAATAGAATTTTTAATAATCGTTAAAATTTTTCTTATAACATTTTTTAGGGACGATGTTGGAAAATGCATCCCATTCCTAGCACTTTCTCCATTTCTATGAATAATGTCCAGAAACGTGGAGACAAAGTTGCAAGCTGTTCTAACGTCTCCTGAGCATATGAGAAAAAAAGTTGACTCCAGTTAAATAAGGAAGCAAAGAAAGGGAGGCAAAATGCAAAAAAAAGTTACAAAGAAAAATGTAGAAAGGAAATCACAGAAAATGAAATCAAAGAAACAGAAATATTCCTCAATAGATGAAGATACCTTCGAGGCTTCAAGAATCAGACGATAGCCCCCTTTAGAAGATGAAGATGTAGAATGTGTAAGGTTGCGGTAAAACCATTTGTTAATCTAAGGGTGAACCCCTACAAAACAACGGTGAAAAAGATGACTGGTTTCAATGTGTACCTACATTGTAAAGTTAGTTAATCACGAAACTTGCTCAAACTATTGTATATGCCAACTCCACAATGGGAAGGTTTTAAGCAAGAAAAAAATGAATAAGGGACACTTATCACTGAGCCATCTATCCCATACCCACTGAGCCATCCAACCCTTAAGTTCCGGGCGAGTTGGTCCCAAGAAATTGTTGTGGTGAAGAGATTTAATAGATAAGATATTATTAGAAGTTATATGTACAGTTAAGAAGTAAGCTAATTAAACGTTATTATTCAAGTTATTCAAGTAAGTTTAGTTTTATTCCTAAAAATAAGCAAAATAAGTAAAATAAGTTACGGTGAATTTTAAACCGTAACAGATATCTTGTTGAAAGATGTCTTTTTTGTTAGAAGGGTTTAAAAAATGTGAGCCATCTCTCCCGGAATTACCCTATAATATAACGTTTGAAATATTTTTTCATATTTTATTTTCTTTTGAAGGGGGGATGTGTCTACACATTTTTTGAATCGTGGGGGCGCCAAATTTTGTCTTTACCCACGACGTATTTTACCCTAGATCCGCCACTGATGAGATAAACATCATTAATACAACGTAAGTGATGTAAGATTTGAAGAAAAAAGGAAATCATTAGATTATTAGACAATTAGATATTAGATTGTAGGGGTTGTGATATTTTATTGAAGTGAAACTTCTTTGCGCGAGATGGGAGAAAAAATTCAACACGGCTTTAACGCAAGAGCTAGCGAGAAAAAGAGTGGTAAGGATCGCGCAAAGGCCAAAAACGATTGATTTAACCCAGGTACCTAGGTACCCAAACTATTTTTATTTTAATAAAAATAGTCAGCTAATGAAATGCCGGCTGTGGGAATCGAACCCACTACCTTCAGGTTGGTAGACGAGAGCCTGTACCTCTACGCCACCGGGCACCTTAACGAATTAATAATAATTATAATATACTACTAACCTGAGTAACCTATGTTGCTAAGCTGCCAAAAGTTTCCAAATATCGGATAGAACCTGAAACCGTTAAAATTTTTCGCAAACTCAAAAATGTGTCTTTTTTTATAAAGTGACCATGCTATTTTCAAGATGATCAAAACTGTGAGTACTCCTGCTCCTGCTATAACTTTTAACCATGCCATAATACGGAATTGTAAATCCTTGAATTGAGAATTTACTAGATTAAAAAAAATGAGTTAGTAAGTTAGTTTGTGGTATTATAGTACAATATCTGTGACAATACTTTGTTACAATAGAAACCAATTGTATTTACTACAGAGGCGCGTTGTGATTTTTTTAAATAAAAAAAAATCTACCATATTTTCGTATTTTTATTTTTAAACTATACGAAAATTTCAAAAAAATTATAAACAGAATGAATCCTTTTAGAACAAGCAAAAACGTTTATGCAGAATGTAATTTTCCCGATTTAGGATTTAGTATACAGGGTGGTCGGAACTGTATTCCGTAAACTTCGGCAGCATATTCTGCAGATAAAAATATGTAAAAAAGTTCATATAAATGTTTGTCCTAAAATGCTTATTTTCGGAGATACAGGTTGCAGAAGTTTCATTTTTATTTCGATTTTTTCCAAATAATTTCTGGAGTAACGTCAATATTTGGATGAAAATTGCTGTCTGGCAGTTTTTTGACATGAGAAATTTAATTTTGATGTCAATATGACTCCTACTAGTAGAGGGCGCCACCTACATATTTTTTAACTGGTTTAAAGAGTAATAACTTTTCGTCCGTACCTGTATAAAACTACTGAGTAAAAAAATATACATTTACGACGTTTTCTACGTGAAAAAGGGCTCTTGGTAAAAATCGCTACGAGTAATGGCTTTCGAGATATTTTAAATCGAAATTATCAATACCTGTCATCATTGTCATAAATTAAACATGTTGACTAAATAGTTATTAGACTGAAATCATAAATTTGAAATGTTTTTGAGCCAAAAGTTCAACAGAAACGGTTTTATCATTATTTTTTGCAGAAAAGTTATGAGTAATTTAAAAAAATAAAAATTTCCCAAATTTATTATTTCAGTGAAATAACTATCTACTCAACGTGTTTATTTTTCGTCAATAATCACATGTATTGACTATTTCCATTCTCAAATATCTTAAGAACAGTGCTTCTGTAAGAGCAGTTGCTCGTAGCGATTTTTACAAAGAGATATTTTTTACGTAAAAAGTCACAGAGATGTATATTTTTTCACTCGGTAGTTTTATACAGGTACGTACAAAAAAGTATTACGCTTCAAACCAGGTAAAACACATGTAGGTGGCGCCCTCTACTAGTAGGACACATATTGACATCAAAATCAAATTTCTCATGTTAAAAAACTCCCAGACACCAATTTTCATCCAAATATTGACGTCACTTCAGAAATTATTTAGAAAAAATCGAAATAAAAATAAAACTTCTACACCCTGTATCTCTGAAACTAAGCATTTTAGGACATACATTTACACGAACTGTTTTACTTATTTTTATCTGCAGAATATGCTGCCGAAGTTTCCGGAATACAATTCGGACCACCCTGTATAATTCTAACTAGTAAAGACTACCCAGAGACACTGTAGACAAAATAAAAATATTTAAATAAAAATATTTATTTACCTATATAGAAAGTTATGTCACCTCAAGGTAAAGCAATGGTATCCACCTGAGTATTTTTCCCTAGTACAGCGTACAGTATGCAGTAAATTTTGGTACAGTTTCTCAAATAATGCCCCTCGGATTTGGCGATAAACTGTATGTCCCATGTACTTATGAAACATTGATGACTTACAAGTACATGCAAGAGATCGCCTAATGTCTGTACAGCACATAACACTGTAAAGGTTGTCACGCACTTGCAGTTTTTTCTCCAGGCAAAACTGCGCAGTCAGAACTTTTGTAGCATTCGACTCAATCTCTTTTAGTTTTTCTGTCGATCTTGATTTATCAAACATATCCTTATTATTGCTGTCGTAGTAGAATGTAGAATGTTTAGAGGGGTGTTAGTCACCGCGACCTTACAGATCTATGGTGTGTTCCCTTTCTTGAGTTATAACAAGTTATAACTCATCATACGGTCTCAAGGCTTTAACAAAAGCCAGTATCTGAGACGGCTCCATAGAGGCCAGCTCTCCATCCTTGACATCAGCCGTACCAAAGTTCATGGCACGAATAGTCGTCGTCTCGGCGCACTCAGTGATGAGGTGTTCTGGTGTTTCCCCATATTCCCCACAGAGTCTGCATTCGCCGTTGTTTCTCAGCTTCAGCCTACTGAGGTGTTCGTTGAGGAGACAGTGTCCTGTTAGAAACCCCGTGACAATCCGAAGATTGTTTTTACTTAAATCAAGGAAAGCCTTTGATTTTTCTCAGTCGTAGGTTCTGAGGAACTTTTTCGAGTGTCTTAGACCGTTGGAAGACACCCATTCTAAGTTGCGGTTGGAGTCTTCCAGATTCTTCAGTTCCGCTTTCAGCTGGTTTCCGCTTGGAAAACAGAACGGTTCTGGTCCAGTTAGTGGAGTGTTCGCTCTTTTCCTAGGTAGATCATTTGCTATTTCATTGCCTTCTATCCCTTGGTGAGCAGGCACCTAGAGTAGGAGGACTTTATTTTCTTTGCCCAACTTGTTGAGCTTCTCTAGACATTCTT